ACACACCATCGAATAATAATTACTTGTATTTCCAAGAGAAGGCCAACACTCGATGTATTCTTATATAAAATGTGAATACTATAACTATCAGATGGCAATTGTAAGTAGCTTTGACGTGGTCTAGTGTTTTGAGTAGTCATGCTCACTAAAATGTCTAAACTTGTGGCGGCGTGGTGGGCCGGGTCATTGGGCTAAAATATGGTCGAGCGCAGTGATGGCTGGCTCATCCGTCATACTCATGAACGGATGCTGCTTGTAGGGACTGGTCTACTCTAATCACTATGACTGATTGTATGGAAATATCGTCATTTTTTAAACTAGAATCTCGAAACTTATTTTTATTATTAAACAGTATAAATAAATATGATTAAGTCTGTAAAAGTGTTACCCTTAAGGGAGTAAAAAATAAGGGATGAAAGTTTGTACAGAAAATCGTCATTTTTTAATCTATAACGAGGAATCTTCTCTCATTGTCTTTTTTGGGTTAGATGTTATTTTTAATATTTTTTTCTATATTTGGTCAAGGTCACTATAACACGCGGACGAAGTCGCGGGCACAACTAGTTAGTTATATATAGACGGTTAGTTACCACTTTCCATTTGTTGAAATGTCCGTTTGTTTTCCTAGTTCATATTAAAATCTCTTCCACAGTCCGGTAAACTTAACTAATTATAACGTTATCTATACATATATAATAAAATTGGAGTGTCTGTTTGTAATATTGAAATAACCGTTTTTTACTACAGGCATATGAATATAAATACGGTACATAAACCAAAATAACATTTTTTACAATTTTTGGCTGTCTGTCTGTCTCTTTGTTCCGGCTAATCTCTGATATAGTTGGACCGATTTTGACGGGACTTTTTTTGGCAGGTAGCTTATGTAATGAGGGGTAACTTAGGTTCCTTTTATTTTAATTGCAATTGCAATTGTAAGTAGCTTTGACGTAGTCTAGTGTTTTGAGTAGTCATGCTCACTAAAATGTCCAGACTTGTGGCGGCGTGGTGGGCCGGGTCATTGGGCTCCCTAAAATATGGTCGAGCGCAGTGATGGCTGGCTTATCCGTCATACTCGTGAACGGGTGCTGCTTGTAGGGACTGGACTGCTCTAATCACTATGACTGATTTCCTCTTATTAATTGTTTAACCAGTTGGTTATATATTCAATATTTTTTCTATTTGAGTATTTAATAGAATTAGTGCTAATTGGTGGTTTGTATTCACACACTTAAACTTAAAAATGTAAAGTAATAATAAAATTATTTAAAAGAGCAACACGCAAGTTTCTTGCTCGTTCTTCTTGTGATGAGACAGCTTTCCGAACGAGCGGTAGATTAAAAAATGTAATGACTATTCAAAAGTGCTTCAATGTAAGTTTATTTGAATAAATGATTTTCTATTCTATTCTATTCTATTCTATTCTATTTAGAAAAATAAAGTTAAATTCATGCGGACGAAGTCGCGGGAACAGCTAGTTTCATTCATTTTTCATTTCATATATACACGATACTCTAGTACGAGACATTGTGTATTTCACTCTCATACCGGTGTTTTTATTCAGCACATAATTATGGTGTATGGTGGAGAGTGGCGATAGTGGTGCGTTGACCACTCGGCGGCCTCATTTTACACTGGTCTTCGGCGAAGCTGCGAGGTGCGCGGGAGACAGCGCGGCATCTTCGAGCTGGTTGAGCAACCGCCACACTCCGCTGCTTTCTTTCAATGGCAGACTGAGTGCGGTGCAAGTTGTAGTCTCAAGCGATTTAGATAAAATATTTCTACAGGATGTTCGGCAGATCATTGAACATAGGAGCATAGACTACACTTTAGAGATATTTAAAAAAAATCTGAAGCCTTCTACCTCCTTAACTTTTTTTTAAAATGCAACGCAAAGTTGAGCTTATAATAATTTTTTTTTAATATTTTTAAGACTTTGGCGTCCCCTCCTCTTTTTTTAGCTATAACATGCAATATGTTTCTTTGTTTCAATCTACAATTGTTGAGAAACTCTTTTGTTATATTTAAAGTTTTCTTGTATTCTCTAATCAAAATTATAAAAACAAATTTATATAATCTGTCATTTCACTCTCTACCATCTTACCATGAAATACATTTTTCCAGTCGTAAAAAGTTTTACTAAATTTATTATTATTATATTTCTGCAACTACAATCCCTTAATATTCTTAAAAAGAAAAAAAAACGGGCTAGCCATAAAAAATAAAAAGTTATAGGGGTTTAAAGGTATGAAAATGATGAAATTTCAAATTAAAAAATCATATAAAAAGTTTTTTAAGACCGAGATTTTTAATGGCCTGAATATATAGGAGACGATCTCATCTACCTATGTGCAACGATCTGCCGAACATTCTGTGTAACTACCATACGGTAATGTTTAGTAATTATGACGTGGTCGAGTGGATTGAGTAGTAACTCACTAAAATGTCCAGACATGTGGCGGCGGGGTGGGCTGGGTCATTGGGCTCCCTTGGTCGAGCGTAGTAATGGCTGGCTCATCCGTCATACTCGTGAACGAGTGCTGCTTGTAGGGACTGGTCTGCTCTAATCACTATGACTGATTTAATCCTATTGTGTATTTAATATTTGACCCTAATAAATTAGTGCTAGTTAGTCGTTTGTATTCGCACGTTTCGAATTGGAAATGTAAAGTTACAATGATTATTTAAAAGTGCAACACGCAAGTTTTTCGCTCGTTCTTCTTGTGATGAGACAGCTCTCCGAATGAGCGGTAGATTAAATGACTACAAATGTTTGTACCGTGCGAGGAAACGAAGACGTGACCGTCGGAAGTAAACCTAGACCACCGGGTCGTCAATGAATACACGTAACGCAACCGAAAAACAATAAAAAAATAATCCTGAATTACATAATAATAATCTCAGGACAATTCACACAGCGCCATCTAGACCCAAGTTAAGCTGGCTAAAGCTTGTGTTATGGGTACTAGATAACTGATACAAATACATAGATATTTTTTTTGTAAATACATACATATTATACATAGAAAACACCCAGACCGATACAAACAATCATACTCATGAATACAAATGTTTGTGCCGTGCAAGGAATCGAACCCGCGACCATCGGATGTAAAGCGGTGTGTTAGACCACTATACTACCGAGGTCGAAGAATTAATTTATAAATTAAATTCTCTATAGATGTACATAAATTTGAATGCCGAAAGTTTCTCACTTGGGAAGTGTCCAATCGATCTAATATTTCATTACGAGAGGATGTTCCAACCTCGGAACAATGGTTGTGAGGCAACCACTCCAGCACGCGGCCACCGCTGGACACCAGCCACTCATGTGCATGGTAAGGTTGCCACACCCAAATTAAAAAAACCAGGATTGAAAATTAAAAAACCCAGGACTATCCAGTTTAAAACCAGACCGCAGTAATAGTGTTGCAATAGTTATATTAATATGTTGTAAATATCAAGTAATTAATATAATCAGGTTGTTAATAAAAAGTATTTGATAAAATTATAATGTTGAAAATCAGTAATTAAGAGGCGCGCATTTTTTAAAAACCCAGCACGCTGCCATAGTCAGGACCTACCAGGACACTTCAAAACTAGGACATGTCCCGGGAAAACAGGACGGTTGGCAACACTAGTGCATGGGGCCACGACATGCTCCATGGTGTGTGAACGGCTCATTAAATGTTGGCCAATGGACCAACTAACCGAAGAATGTACATTGTATGAAACAACCACACCTACTAGATATTGGGTCAACAAGTCACTGGCGCGTGCAGTGTTGAGCTCCATTTTTAAGGTAAGAGAACAAATCAGGAATATACCAGTGAGAGCATCATCATCATCATCGCAGCCCGGAAGACGTCCACTGCCAGACATAGGCCTCCCCCAAAGATCTCCACGACGATCGGTCCTGCGCTGCTCGCATCCAATGCCTTCCAGCGATCTTGACCAGATCGTCGGTCCACCTTGCTGGAGGCCTTCCCACGCTGCGTCTTCCGGTCCGCGGTCGCCACTCGAGGACTTTACTGCCCCAACGGCCATCTGTCCTACGAGCTATGTGCCCTGCCCATTGCCACTTCAAAGTCGCAATTCTTCGGGCTATGTCGGTCACTCTGGTTCTTCTCCTCATTTCTGATTCGATTACGCAGAGTAACTCCGAGCATAGCCCTCTCCATTGCCCTCTGAGTGATTCTGAGCTCGTTGATGGGGCCCATAGCGACCACGTCTCTGTTCCGTAAGTCATCACTGGCAACACACATTGGTCGTAAACCTTCGTCTTGAGAGTGAGAGCATACACTTGAAATAAATGCTTGTAAGCCACCTACTGCTGCCCACCTTCATGAAGGACTACTGACAGAAGGGCGCGCCGGATGTTCCCTTTTCTCGAGGCGAGGCAAAAACTAAAAATTGATTGAACAATGATTTTGAACATTTGAACAATATCACTATTACATAATATAAAATAAAGTCGCTGTCGCTGTCTGTCCCTATGCTTAAATCTTTAAAACTACGCAACGGATTTTGAAGTTGTTTTTTTAGTAGATAGAGTGATTCAAGAGGAAGGTTTATATGTATAATACATGTACACCCGTGGAAGCCGGGGTGAGTAGCTAGTACATAATAACATACATACGATCTGGGTGGTCTAGCGGTCTAGCACACCGCTTTACGACCGATGGTCGTGGGTTCGATTCCTCGATTCCGGCCCGCTTGCATCATGAAGTTTTAGACGGTAGAAGTCCGGCAGTATCCTTTAGACTCCCCCGGGGTGTGCGGATCTCCATGACGGATTTCCCCATAAAAATAAAAGGCTTTTTGTTTTTAATTTCTCCTTACAAAAGGGACTTATATTTTGCAATACGCATATGTAAAAATAAACTATACTATACTTATAAGTAGAATAAAATTAATTACAGATATCAATTATAGTAAAATGTACATAAATAGAATGTATAGACAGGTATGTACATAGTACGAGACAGCAGGTATGCCAACTACACTGCGACGAACTCCTCATTGTCCTGGGAGCCACCCACGACGACCGGGAGGCGGCGGTCCTGCGTCCAGTAGTAGAACAGCGAGGCGCGGTACCCCTCACCGCCGCCGCGCTGCGGCAGCCCTCGCAAGTACGGCTGATAGCTCTCCCCGCCGCACCTCCGATTCATGTACACCTCCTTCAACTCCACCTCCGAGGACCGTTTCTTGAACAGATACCGCACGTACGACAGACTCGGATGCTTCGTCAGCGACGCCAACTCTACCTCCGACAGAACAATGTCCAAGTCCAGAGTGCGCAGGGCCGGCATCTCGCGCACCATCTTCAGTATATTGTGCGAGGTGACCTCACACCGCCACAGCTCGAACGCCTTGAGCCCGGGCAGGCGGCGAGCGAGCGGCGGCGCGTGCTCGTCCTCGAAGCGGCCGGCGCTGAGGCAGAGGTCCTCGAGTGCGGGCGGCAGGCTGCGGACGAAGGCGTGCAGCGCCCCCGAGCGCAGCATGCGGGCGCCGGTCACGTGCAGCCGCCGCAGCCCGCGCGGCCGCACCACGTGCTGAGCGCCGCGGGACGTCAGCAGCCAGCACGAGTACAGCTGCAGCGACGTCAGCCGCTCGCACCGCCCGATGATCTCGAACGCGGCGTCCGCGAGCTCCGTGCAGCGCAGCGTCAGCTCGGTGAGGTGCTCCCGACGCGCCTGTAGCACGGGAGTTAGCTCCCGCGCCGGGAAGTGCCACGAGCGGCCGTACATGTTAAGGCAGCGCAGCCTCTCGCCGGCGGCCATCGAGATCAGCACGCCCGGCGTCAAAGTCTCGTTGATCACAAGCGAGCTCAGCCGCAGCAGGAGCGGCGACCAGCGAGACTCTATTCGCCGCTCCTGTATAAATACATCCAAGTGGTCGAGGTGACGCAGCCGGAGCAGGTCGTCCACGCAGCGGGCTCCGAGCGGATACGTGGCGTGAATCGTTAGTTGTCGAAGATGCGGGATGACATCGACGACGGTGGTCATACAAGAGCTTAACGAGTCGATGCTTCCAGATATGAGTACAGCGATGATACCGCAGTGCGACCGCCTCAGGTCCTCCTGGCGGCGCACCTCGAGCAGGCGACGGCGCAGCAGATATTTCCATCTTTGGCACACTTGCGCCACCACTATTAGGGTTCTAAAAGGCAGATACTCGAAGATCATCAAAATAACCTCCTCGGGCAATGTCTCCATGTTCATTAGTCATAATTTTAAAATGTTTGATTAAACCGAAAAGCATTTTTATTTATATTATTATTTTATTTACATTACAAAAATATGATGGAAAAATCATTTGAAATGTATAAGTAAACAATTGTTGCATTCTTTAATACTATTTACACTTTATAATGTCACCGAATTCCGAACTGTCACTGCCAGCACTACTGTCAAACGAGGCAGCATTATACTAAAAATATGTTGGAGTCGCCATCTATACTATGACTCCACAAACTATAAGGCTATTTTGAATTTTGTATAATTTGTTTACAGATATAATACACAGATTCATAATTTTATACTATACATTTCCATTATCTGCAAAATATAAAAGTAAAAAAATTGTTTCATAAACACGTAAAAAATTATATACTAACAATTTTGATGGAAAAATACCCTTTAAATCATTTTCGGATAAAAATTAGACACAGAATGGTGGATGTAAATTTTGTATTCCTTAAAGTTAAAGCATGTCTAAATTGAAGCTGTAAAAGTCAGCTGAAACCAACAGACGTATTGCGAAAATATTGTTAACAATAATGCTGTCAACAATGATATCTAAATAACATTAATTTATATATCTAAGCTTCATTGATCTTTTTTTTTATTTAAATAATTCAAAATAACACATTTAAGTCCATAGAACCGCATATATTTCAAATTGTATTACACCCAAAAAATACAATTATTGTTATAGTGAAAACTGGACTTTAGTCCTTTATTTTCTGTGGTTATTACAACTAGCCAATTCAATAGACCTAAAACAGCTGAGTGTCAAAGTCAGAATCATTTGTAGGTTGTAATTTTGTTATTATTAATTGTCCGTTTTTACTTTCGTTGTTGCCAAATATAACTACTGAACTTTGATTAGAAATGCGTTTACTTACATTTAGTTTTCTTAAAAACTGTAAATGGAAGGCGTGGATGCAGAATCCAAGGAAGATCAGCAGTGGTACAGTCCGTTCAACAGTTGAGGAGAAAATCACTGGTATTAATTTTAGGGTATCATTTAAGCTATCGCCAATTTAAATAGTTTTCTGTTTCTTAAATATTAGCGTTTGCCCTCAAAATAGTAGATTTGTTACCAAAATGTAGTCACCAAACAATATAAAATCAATTCCACAATAAATCATCTAAAATCATGGAGATATATGGTCTAGTAGGATAGATAGATCACCAATAAATCATATGATGTCACTAGAAAATTTCAATTTGTCTCCGCCTCTTTGAACATATTTTCATTGAAATTATAAATTGTTGTGTGAAATTGGTAACGAATACTATTATTTAAATTACTGAACGAAATAAAATGTAACTACTGTATTGGGACAAAATATGAAATGGAAACGAGTCGCAGTGAGGGATCGATAATCGATTTATTCAGTGACAGATTTACCATTCTGAGCACAAGTAATTGTAAGAACAAAGTTTATATTCATCTACTGCACTACAATTTTTTTGGGAATCCATCTTTTTTTTACACATATATTAACATTAATTTGATAATTCCTATCTATATTCCTAAAGCATTCCCCCTTTTTGTTTATCAGAGAATGAAAATATTTCGTGGTGATAGATCTATATATATTTTTTTTAATTCAGGGACTTTTGTACCATCTATGTACATGTCAGTTCCATTGTACCCTAAAACCAATGACTCCATTACCTCACCAGTGAACAAATTACCTTAGCCGCATCGCCCGAAGGATCGGCTAAAACAGTTTGTATAGCATCAACATCTAATATATTTATTTCATGGTCTGACGTTATTCTATAATCTATTTATTAGGTGATACAACTTGATGACAAATATAAATTTTGGTGACAAGAAATATAGTCCCCTTAATTTTACAGATAATTAATTTTAATAAGTTTTGTTACCCAGTAGCTTCTATTCCACTAACACCCAAAAATTCCTGAAAAAAAAACAAACAAATTGTCTAATCTATATTTTATCACACTGGTAACTGATTTTACCACACCAATATCAGCTGCCAATTGGTATGTAAGCGGTATTACGGTTTAAGGGAGTAGTGAAATTACAGGATAACAAGCATCAATGCATTACTGGTATCACGGGTGGCACATGAGGTATATATATATATAACATGAGTACTGTTCATGTACGATGGGTCGTCTTTGTTAAGATAAGAAACTGTTAGTCATGTATTACTGTATTTTACAAAACGGTTTTTATATTCTTATCAGGAGACCCCAATTTAATATATATACATCCATCGTGGAAGGCTGATGAGGAACAGCATCTACGTACAGCAATCATGACTGATATGCAGGTGCTGCCAGATTTTGTCACCGAAGCAGAGGAGACATCTCTGTTGGCCGAACTGGAGAATATAGTGAGATACCATTGATGATGTAAGTATACACTGTTATTTTCATCCAAAATACTACAAAGGTTTTTATATATTATTTGATCATATGCTCAGAAAAAATACCGTTTCGATAGTACATTCGTAAATTATGTAATATATATACATCCTAAATAAAAAAATTAAAGAGTCCAAGGATAAGATAAGGACAGTGTGGAGTATTATTAACAAAGAAACTGGCAAAGTTAAAAGTCCATGATTTTACGTTAAATTATAATGATAAACTAGTAACGTCCACAAAAGAAATTGTCAATATTTTTGAAAATTTTTTCGCAATATTCATGATATTACTGGACTCTTCTCCTAGTACAGCTAAATCATTCCTTATTGACAATGTTGTTTCTTGTCCGGTTACATTTAAATTTACATTTATTGACATTGCTACAATTACTAAAACATTTAAACAATTAAATTTAAAAAATACTGAAGACCATTGGGGCATGTCTGTTAAAGTTATTAACACCGCTATAGATGTTATTGCTCCATATTTAGTAATTATTTTCAATAAATGTATTTCTGATGGTGTTTTTCCCAATTTAATGAAACATAGCAAAATAACTCCACTCTTTAAGTCAACTGTGAGCCCTATCTCAGGAAAAAAAAATGAGCTGCAACACTTTAAAGTAAATAAACTGCTTCACAGTCGACAGTTTGGTTTCATCATTGATGCCGGTGTATGTATTTGATTCTTGGGAAGTATGCACATTTTGTGATCTGCATTTGATTGCGTTGAACATGAAACACTTTTGCTCATCATTACATTAGATAATATAAATATCTAAATAATAGATGCAAGTTGTCGAATATAATAGAACTAGTATTAAAATGGGTGTTCATCTTTTTATTTTCTTAAACATAAATGATCTTATATGGTAGAAAAGATAGCTGACATAGTTCTGTTTGCTGATGATTTTTAGTATTCAAAGTCAATCGACATATTGATGATTTGGACGTAAAACTGTCTTTCATGTTTTAAAATGGTTTACGGCTAATAATATGTTACTAAATGCAAATAAAACTAAATGTATCATGTTGTAAGGCTAGATTCAAAAATCACGTTTAAATTATAATTGTATTTTATATTATTTCTAGGTATCACATTAGATTCCAAGTTGCTGGGGTTACATTTTTAAGTTTAAGTGTGTGAGAGTATGTCTGTCTGTCAACTTTGCTATTCGGCAGTATGTATTTACAGAAAATTCTTAAAAGTGTAATTTTGAACAACATTTATATAAAAGAGCAACATGCAGGTTCCTTTGAGATTTTACTGTGTTTGGCTAAAGTTAGTACAAATGAAAATGGTGGAATAAAAAAAGATAAATGTCAAATAAAACACTTCCTAAAAAAGCTTACTTATATTAGGTTTTTGTATTTTTAAATACATAGAATAAATTATCTGATTATATTTCTATTTTAATTTGTTACTGCTCCACGACTCAATGGCTGAATGTATATGTCATAAGATAAATCAAAATATGACTATTCAAAAGTGCTTGTAATGAGTTTATTTGAATAAAGATTATTTCTATTTCTATTTCTATTTCTATAATATAATATTGTAGATATGAGAATATAACACAATAGAAAATCATTTATTCAAATAAACTTACATTGAAGAACTTTTGAATAGTCATCACATTTTATTTAATCAACCACATTCGTAATTTTTAAAAATAAAAACTAACATAAATATTATACTATGTATATAGGTTCCTTGACACACTATACGAGTATATCTTCATGTCAATGTACATCCTTACTAATATTATAATTCAGTTTTTTCTATTTCAATTTGTTACTGCTCCACGCTTTCACACAAAAAAGTCAACTGAACCATAAATAATATACAATGTATATAGTCATTACACACTATACGTAATTTTATACACTTGTTATTATAAGGTGTTAGACACAAAAACAACTGAATGATGATTTTATACACTTGTTCTTAAAGGTATTAGAATGAACATAGGATACTTCTTATGTAAAAAATTTGCGAGCAAAGTCGCGGGTGAAAGCTAGTCATTAATAAATAGCTATTTAGTTGTTAAAAAAAAAGACAATTTGTAACATTGATTCGTCAGTGTGTGAGTGGTGTACGCAGGCAATCCAAGGGTTCCGTGAGACAGAGCGCAGCACGTGGAGCGAAGAGAACGCCCTGGTGATGTCACGTGTGCGCGGCGCCGCGTTCTCGAGTGCACGTGCGGGCGAGGCGCTGCCGCACGTGCACGTGCTCGACCTCGCCGCCGCCGGACACATCCGGCCCCACGTGGACGCACTCAGGGTGAGCCCCCCCCACTACTTACACTAAACTTTTTTTTTACTTGGAGATATTCGTCATGGAGCTTCTCTCTCCCCGGGGGAGGTCCTCCGCTTGCTATTAGCGCCGAGGTCAACGGGTCTAAGTGCATTCATTGTGGCCCTGACAGCGCAGGCTCTGTAGCCTGCTCCTCGAGTGGTTTTCTACTTAATCTCCTAACCTAATCCTCCCTAAGGGACAACAGACGCCTCCGCGTCTGTCGCCGTGAGGCGGCATGTTCTTGCGGATGCTGAAACTCAGCATCCATCGCCTCCACTACCCTCCACACTAAACCTGACCTATTATGTTTATTCGAGGTGCCCTGTACGATCAGCGACGACATTCGTTTTTCGATTTTCAAACAGCTGCACACTCCTAGGGCAGTGAAGGATGGGGCCTCGGGGCCCCTTTGTCTCGGCATCAACTCCGAAAGCGACAACACCCTGTAATCAGGTTAACATCCTCTTGATGCGAGTTACCAAAACTTAAACTAAAATTGCACTGAGTTAGATACTATTACAAAATAAAAAATATTTGCAATAAATTTACTTGTCCTAACTTGAGAGGTGGTCCATTTTGGAAACTGGTTATTTTTCGCGCGGGTCGTAGCAATGCTTAACTCATATTGGAACATTACAATGTCAATTTCACTACAAATAGCTAACCTATTGCCACCAGAACTATTTATATATTTATTCTATTATATATGTGTAGTGAACATTATTATATCATAATGCACATGTATCGCTAGTGAGTGGTGAACAGTGACCGTCGCCGCATCCTATTAGTCACGGTCGAGCCACCACCTGATTGGGCTATTACCTGAGGATTACCATATACCCTCCCTCCTCTAATTCCTCAAAGCGACCTCTCGAGGGAACTGTACCTATGTATGACATGGTTTATGTAAAATGTGCGTGTGTATGTGCAGTTCTGCGGCGAGGTGATTGCAGGCATCAGCCTGCTGTCGACGGCAGTGATGCGCCTGGAACACGCACAGAGACCGCAGCTGCGGCTCGACGCACTCCTCCCGCAGAGATCACTCTATATTATGAGGTGAGTTCACACACCATTTGGACATGTATTTATTTATTCATCTATACATATAAATAAAATTGAATTGTCTGTTTGTAATATTGAAATAACCGTTTTTTACTACACGCATATGAATGAATATGGTACCAAAATAATTTTTTTTACATTTTTTGTCTGTCTGACTTTTTGTTCCAGCTAATCTCTGAATTAGCTAGACTGATTTTGACAGGATTTTTATTGGTAGATAGCTGAGAGCGTGGAATTGAACTTTATTTTTCTAAAATAATAGTAGCGTAAGTTACTCCTTATTACATTAGCTACCTGCCAAAAAAAGTCGCGTCAAAATGGGTCCAGCTATTTCAGAGATTAGCCGAAACAAACAGACAGACAGACAAAAATTTTAAAAAATGTTATTTTGGTGTATGTACCATATTCATTTATACACATATAGTAAAAAAACGGTTATTTCAATATTACAAACAGACACTCCAATTTTATTTATATGTATAGGTTTACTGTTAATAATGTAAATTAAATATTGTAATGGGTGAAAACTGTGATTGGTACAGCCTATGCTGTAAATAATATAAATGACATAGTGGAGTAACTTGAAACAGTCATGCTCGCTATAAAGTTCAAACTTGTGGCGGCGTGGTGGGCCGGGTCGATGTGCTCCCTCTAATATGGTTGAGTGCAATGATGGCTGGCTCATCCGTCATACTCGTGTACGTGTGATGCTTGTGGGGACTGGTCTGTTCAGGTTGCGAACACTGATTAGATTTTTTGATTTTTTTTATATAGCATATGCTGGTGGTCACTCTATTCTCCCAAATTTGAATTTAAATGAAATAGTATTATTGTAAATATGTACAACATTAAAAAAAAAAGACGAGCTGAGTTTCTTGTCAGTTCTTCTCATCTCGAAATCATTCGGAACTGACGGTAGATTTGACATATCATAAGAGTCTGTAATAGACCTACATGAATAAAGATATTTTGACTGATGCTTTACAACTATTTAACGAATGAAGCTGCTTGACGGCTGAGTTGAATGTATGAGATAAAGGTACCCAAATGGCTAGGTGACAAACTCCCGTGTGATTGGTACAGGGGCGTGGCGCGGTACGAGTTCACGCACGCGGTGTGCGGCGGCGCGGGAGCCCCGAGCACGTGGCGCGGGGCTCCGGTCCCGCGCCGGCGCCGCCTCGCGCTCATCTCGCGCAGTCGGCCGCCGCCGACCGCATGCTGACGCACGCGTAAGCATTCTTACTACTTTGTAACACTGTATACTACCCGAGCCCTACATATTGAGTGGGAATTTATCTACACACTGACTGTTCGGTAGAACATTTGTAATAATAAAGTAAAAAAATATATAAAATATATTTTGATTATCAATATTTGTAAATATTGATAATCAAAAGTGTTACAATACAAGTGTTTGTATTACTGTCGTGTTATACAACATAAAAGTTAATTTTTGTGGTTTTCCGTACATATAGTATTTGTTTACAGTATTAACCTATACAATACAAATCCTCGATTTCTTTCTTTCTTACCATAAAATATTTAAAATAGGTGTAGGGGTGTTTTATGATAAACTAGCTGTACGCGCGACTTCGTCCGCATGGAATTTTGCAACATTATTTCTCTAAAATAAAAGTAGCCTAAGTTACTTCTCATTACATCAGCTACATGCCAATAAAAGTCCCATTAAAATCGGTCCAGCCATTTCAAAGATTAGCCGGAACAGACAGACAGACAAAAATAGTAATAAATGTTATTTTGGTGTAATAGGCTTTGCTCAGTATATATGATTTAACAGATGTTTTGAATTTATTTAAGGGTAACTCCAGTATATTCTTTGGTATCTTATTATACATTTTTATACCTATTCCTATAAAAGACCTATTGACTTTTTCTAAACAATACTTGGGGTCAGCAAGATTGTCTTTAAATATAATATAACCTACAAATATTGGGGGAAAGGAATTGTTAGTAATGTGGATTGATAACCCCATTGCTAGCAATGTACCATGTCAGGTCGACCTCCACGCGTTTCCCCCTGGAAACAATCGTGTTAAATTCCTGGTGAATTTGTCACGATAACGCTAACTGACCTGACCTCATGCTCATCTTATCATCCTCCACTGGTGCAGATACTTTCCATTATCATCCTCAAAAAAAAAACCTACAAATACTTATCAGTTTCAATTAATACATGTCCCTTATGTTTCAGCACTACAAACAGACAAGAGAGAAGATTATAGTATATTATATGATAGTATTATTGACGAATTTAATTTCCCATTATTGTACTTTCCTATTTTATATAACTTTGAATAATGTAAATATTTAGTACTAAAAACAATGTGATACAATGTTATGTGCCCTCAATGTACAAACATAATATAGAAGTGTGAAATTATTTATTATGTATAAGGTAAATAAAATATTTGAAGTTTATTCCAAGTTGTTTAAATGAAAGTCTTGTTTAGTGCGAAATATATTTTATTTACAGTCAAACAGGTCTGCCCTAGAGTAGAGGTATTATAATAGAAAAAAAACCAATTAAATTTATACAGCTGTATTGAAATGCTATTTAGAATCAATCAATCAATCATATACATATTGTAAGGGTGAAGGGGGTTGTTGTTTCAATGAGGTTATTAGTCAACATGGTAAATATTATTTTAGCCAGGAAGACGTCCACTGCTGAACTATGGCACCCCTCAAAGGTCTCCACGACGATTGGTCCTGCGCTGCTCGCATCCGACGCCTTCCAGCGATCTTGACCAGATCGTCGGTTTACGTTAGTCCACATTACTGGATCATTGCCAGCAATGAATCATGTCAGGTTGACTACCATACGGTTCCCCTTGGATACCATCGTAATAAATTCCTAGTCAATTTGTCACGGTGGGGTATCTGACCTGACCTCATGTTCATCTTATCATCCTGCACTGGTGCACCATTCCATTATATGGTACAGTTTGTCTTCCTAATTATCGGCTCTTAAACACGCACCACTGTTCTTACTCGACGATCACAGCTTAATGACGCCAGCAGTGTGCGCAAGAGACGACATAATACTTCCTTCTCTTTCTTATACTACACATGTATAATAAATTAATTCGATTACCATAAAATATGAAGTTAATACGTTTTTTAGTATACAATTTAAATATAACGAAAAGATGCAATGTAGCACAATCCTATGATCTGGATTCGAACGTTCGGAATTGTCAAGAGCAGACAGCTCGATTACTAACTTACAACTTACTTAAACTTAATCTATTAAAACCATAGTTGCATCAGTCCTTACATAACGAGAAAATATACACAAAGTCGCCAATATTTGGTTTATTTGTATTAGAAATGAATATTTATTATTTGTCTAACACACGTTGGTGGTCTACTCGCGGTATTCCATATCCTCAAGGGTTTCAACTTCAAGGTATTCTACTTCACCTTCAGCGTCGACGTTCACATTTGCTTCCACCTCCATCTCCTCACCGTCGCCTTCCAGCTGAGAATCCTGGCCGTCTTCCTGCAAATTAACATTATTTAAATAGTTATAATGTCTAAGTTATTTTGTAATGCTCTCTAGAAAGTAAAATATCACTTGAAAATAAAACCGGGCTAAGAAACGAACCCTGCGATACATCTTTATTAAGGTTGATATTTTAATAGAATTTTAAACAAAACAAATATATTAGTTTTTTTGTTTAAACTTCTTATAGCAATATATTAAATTATTGTCTGCGTGGCAGCTAGTTGGAAGCAGCCATCCCTGGGGTGACGGTCTTTTGAAGTTTTACCACAAGTAAAAAAAAAGCTAGTTGATAGACGTATTTGGTCAGAACCAATGTTTTTTATTAAGACAGTCTTCTCACTATCTACATTATTCTGTACTAGCTGAGTGCCGCGGCGTTGCCCATGGAAATTCATAAACGTTCCAGTAGTTTTGATATCCTCACAAAATATCGCAGTTACCAATTTTAGAACAGTGTCAATTAACAAATTACAATATAAAGCAAACACTTTTTTGCTTTAAGTTAATGTAATTTAGTAAGATCATCGTCAGTGCGTCATTCCGTCACTTGATGTGACTGAGAGTCAGTCAGTACCTTGGTGATCAGCCGGTCGCGGTGCACACGAGCGTGGCGCTTCATGGCTGCTACAGACCCGAATCTGCGGAAATTAATATATTTATTAATATGAGATGCAGATGGTAAATCTTGATACGACACGATGAATTTATCGACATTATGAATAATATCGAAGGAAAAATAGGATGCAAAGAGTGGAAGAAGACCAAGAAACGGCTATATCAAGCAGATTAAGGAAAAAGTTGGAGTCGTGTCGTATTAACAACTAAAAGCATTGATGGAAAATTGTGGAAAATAGTAAGAGCAGTAAATGAATGAAGATGGAACAAAGAGCTAATCGTACAAACAAATTTATACCAGAGGTAGACTGTACAAGTTTCTGTGTGTGTGCCTCAGTCTCGCCTATTTCTTTTTCAGCCAAGGAGCAACTTCCTTTGTGAGGCGTATTTCAGTTTTAGGGTACTATTAGGCAGTGTAATTACAGGTTAAGAGGCATGACATACTAGTTCTCTGTAATGACACTGCATGAGTGGCATCGTCGGTGTCACATAACATGATGTCCGTAGTGCTGTTCGTGTATACAGGCGACGGTTACCACTTACCATCAGGCGGGCCGTCAGTAAAGTTAAGTAAAAATTTACAGCTAACGACTTGTAGCTCTGGTAAAGGTACGAGAGGTTGTAGGTGAAAAATCAGTGTTATTACATTATATATGCTACTAGCTTTTGCCCGCGGCTTCGCTCGTGTTAATTTATCCCCTTAGGGGTGGAATTTATCAAAATCATTTCTTAGGGGATGCCTACGTCATAGTAGCTTTATGCATGCAAAGCTCTCAGCCCGATCGGTTTAAAATTGACAAAGTTTCATACAAACTTTCATCCCCTATTTTATCTCCTTGGGGGTAGAATTAATCAAAATCCTTTCTTAGCGGATGCCTACGTCATAACATCTACCTGCATGCCAAATTTCAGCCCGATCCGTCCAGTGGTTTGGGCTGTGCCTAGATCACTACGTCAGTCACCTTTGAGTTATATGTATTTAGATTTATAGATTTATGGATCCGGCTCGAAGGATGTTAAAAATGTATGTTCATAAATGTTCAAGATAAGTAATGAAGTTGCTTATTTTAAACAATCTTAAATGAATGTTGTTAGTAGTATATATAAATAGTGGTGGTGGATGATTGTGAATAGAAATAATGGAATTAAATAGATTCTTTTTCTTATCGACTCGTGCTCGAGAAAGTAGTCTAAAGTTGTGTCGCGGATGTATCCTACTTACGCTGACAGGGTTTATGTCACAACAAATCAAAGTATCTTTATTAATGTAGGTCTATTACAGATTCTCGCCAATACAATGAAATTCTTGTCTCGAATAGAAATATAGATATTTTTCATTCAACGCTGGTCCAGTTCCGGAGACAATTAAATTTCCACCGTAAAGAGACAAATTATATTTAATATTGTACCAATATAAATAAAATTCTGTTAATATGATAATTCATTGCATTACGTAGTTATAAATCATTTTCTATTTAGTTTACTTTTTATTATATAACCTTATCTAGCTATCTAGCGTATATTGAATGCGTCTATATAATTTATCTTTTAGGCATACATAGTGTTGGATTACAAACCAGTTTTGTACCGAACTACACGCTTCTAATTATATTATTACTAGGCGTACCGGCAAACGTTGTTTTGCCTTAAAAAAAAAAATTAGGGGTGGACTACCCCTAACATTTAGGGGGATGAAAAATAGATGTTCGATTTTCAGACCTACTCAATATGCTCACAAAATTTCGGTCGAATCGGTCAAGCCGTTTCGGATGAGTATGGGAACGAAAACTGTGACACGAGAATTTTATATATAAGATATTAATTGTAATCAGTTTTGTATGCTAATAAATAAATAAATAAATTCTTATATGTCAAGTTTACTGTCAGCTCATGCTTTCGAGCTAAGAAGAATTGACAAGAAACTCAGCTCGTGTAAGCAAATTAATGTGGTATGAAGCTTGTTACGGAAGGAAGGACTGTATAAGGACTGGTTAAAAATGAGACACGTTCTTAGGTGAGGTAAAATAGCGCGGCGGCAGCGGGGGCGCTAGCAAAAATATAAAGACAATAAGGCATAAGAAAACAAATAGTATATAAAAACAGAACGTCAAAATATAAAATTCAAATATATATAAAAAACATAAAAACTATCAAAAAGGTTGCCATCGGCAACAAAGCTAATGTATATGGTGTGTAGCCCTATAGTGTTGTATATATAATGGGATACGTACTTGCGACCGCAGTGCTCGCAGGTGGGCGCGGCGGCGGCGGGGGCGGCGGGGGGCGCGGGGGCGGAGCCCGACGACGAGTGGCACTTGCGGATGTGAGCCAGCAGGTGGCCTCTGTAGTGGCAGGCCAGTTCATTATGTTATATCTATTGAGAATATTCTAGTAGAGTATTATTTTTGGATTCCAATTTAAGACATTGTAAAAAGGATGCAGCATAGAGAACATTGTCACTTACTCATTAACTTCTCTTGGGATGGAGAAATGGGGGTTAGCGGGTAAGGTAATTGGACTGTATGGAATTGAAATAAAGGGGGCGCACAGTACGTACCTGCGACTGTAGAGCGGGTTTATTCTTGCACAGCTGCTGCACTCGATGAATACTAAGTTTAACACAGGCACGCACACAAAGTTACTTATTGTTAATGTCAATATTATATTAATTAATTTAAAGCGGAGCGGTTGGGACGAGATGTCACCATTCACGTTAGTAGACGCGGTCGTCGGGCGACCTCAGTTGACATACTGTGCGCGGGAAAGGGATTAGGATATGGGGAATAATACCATTCGTACCTGGAGGAGAACCGCAGGATGCAGGCGTCGTACCCGCACAGGAACCGGTCGGGGCGGCGGTGCCGCAGCAGGTGCGCGGCGAGCGCGGCGGGCGCGGGCAGGGTCCGGAAGCAGCGCGCGCACACGCAGGGCGCGCCCCCCCCGCCCCCGCCGCCCCCGCCGCCCGCCCCGCCCCCGCCGTGCGCGGCGGCCACGTGCGCGGCGAGCGCCGCCCGGGAGGCTGCGCGCGCGCCGCACGCCGGGCACACGCCGCACGCCGCGCCCGACGCGCAGTGCGCGCGCAGCTCCGCCGCCGTCTGCGGACCACATCTCACATGACCACTGACCGACGACAGATGGCAACTCCCACGGCACGAAAGAAATTTCGAACAGAAAAAAATATAAAACATTTCCGCCCTCCGATTTCTCTAGCCTGACTACCTTAGTTGAGATAAACTGACAAAAACCCAAATATACAAAGTTAGCCAAAAAAAGATCGCTAGCACTACATCGTGTTACTTATAACTAATTGATCCAATGTGATATTATTTCAGACAGCGTATATTGATTTCATACAATAATAAAGTGGAAACTGTGTAAATGCCCCTTTAAAAATTAGATTCTAAGACCTACTTCGTCGAGAACCAGGAAACTTCAAATGATAGAAACGACGATCAGAATAAAGGTGTTTTTTCCGGGATTTTCAAAAAGGAACTTCTTTTTCAAGAAGCCGTGACGCTCTATCCATGAAGTCGGTTAGCATTTGACCTCGAAAATTCCGGTCAATGGGTGATCCCATCGCCCCACTCTTAGCTCGTCATCACTTCGCTTGTCCAATTTTGAATTAAAGTTATTGTTCCGACCTAATATGATATTGAAACCTTCAATAAAAGAATTTCTTGCTTTTTAAAAGACCAGCAACACCCTCGGCGTTGGCAGCGTTCGTGCATTAGGTGAACCGCAAGCTCGTTTGTCCACTATTATTATCCCTGCGTATATATAAAAAAGCATACACTTACCGCGAAGTCTGTGCTGCAGAGGTGGCAGGTGAGTTCGTGGAGCGGCGCGTGGTCGGCGTGGTGCGCGCGCAGCGCCGCCAGCGACGAGAACTGCGCGCCGCACGACCAGCACGAGTGCAGCGCGTCCGCCGGGTGCTGCGACACGTGCGACCGGAACTCGGTCACGCGCTGCCCACGACCAACTTTATACATCATACTTTGCACCGGGTCAGTATGGCGACGAAGACGACCCATACAATGATACCTTTCATCAATCGAATGCCTTAATACAGGGGCGAGGGGCATTGTTAGTAATGTGGACCCCATTGAGACTCTACGAGTCGAGCGGCTGCGGTTGCGGGGAGTCGGAAGAGGACCTCCACCACGTTGATGGGAGTGCTCGCTGTATTCCGCCCTTAGGGGGAAGCTGCTGGAGGGGATACGTCGCGGTGAAGGAGAAGGAGAGGATCCGGTGTACCCGGACTTGGTGTCTACGGAGGAGAATTTTAGGAGGCTGCGGGAGTTCGCGCATCAGTGGCACCGGAGGCGGAGCGAGTACGAGAGGACTGACGGTGGTACACGTTCAAGAAGGAAGGATGCTGCTGAAGACGGCGTGCTGCCCGGCACCGAAGCTGTCAATGTTTCGTCTGCTGCCCCAGAAGGGAGAGAAATAATTTGTAGGGGTCAAGAGAATGCGTGGAACGTAGAGTAGATTCGGCCAGTATAACCGAGATGTTGGAATGGCCATGGGTTGGTGGAGGGTTATTGACCCCATTGCTAACAATATACCATGTCGGGTTGACATCCACACGGTTCCCTCTGGGTACCATCGTGATAAATTCTTGGTGAATTTGACACGATGGGATAACTGACCTGTGGGCTAATTATGTAACTTCGTTCGCAACGATTTTCGTATGTAACGTAGTGAAAATGACGTCATCTGTCAATAATGCGATTATATTGACGCCATTTGACGATGTCAACTAGCATTGCAACGTAAACGCAACTTTACATATCGATAAAAATTATTTCTATCGAATGTCGATTTAGTAACCTCGTTGCAACGTCACGTAATCGCTATTTTGCCGAAATGACAGCGTGGAATTGAAACGGTTTTTAGATTATGAGAAACAATTTAGAAGGTGTTTCTTTTGGTAATTTTCAGTATTACATATATTTTTATTATATTTTTATAAATATTACGTAGAAAGTCGTGAAAAGGTTTTAAATTTATTAAAATGGGAAAATTGTCACGACTCACAACACGACATCAGTGTTGCCAATTCGATATTTTATTTTTGTCCCAAATCACATTGAATAAAAAATGTTGGTCCAAATTAATAAAAAAAATGTTGTATCAACTAGAGTTTAACGTTTAATATAAAATTGGGGTTGTTTATGATATTAATATAATTAAAAAACTATTTCAATGAATACGGTGCTCTGTGAACAGAATACGGAACGTTTATGGTGCTCTGTGATTTGTTTATAGCAAATATTCAAAATTATTAACCTTATTTTTTCATTACAATAGATCTATAGAGAAAAGAAAATTTCTTTATTTTAATATTATTAATGATTATAAATAGTTTATAAAATATGCTTTTATATTCAAAATTATTAAATTTTTTCAAAAGAACAATTTTATTAAATGTCTGCAGTTTATTTATTTTGTAATTTTTGAACGCAATAAAAATTGTTTCAAATCAACCAACTAGTGTATTAACCCAATAATTTAAAATGTATCCCTCTAAAGGTATAAGCTATCTAATGTACACACTTTTTAAATTGGTCGGATTAACAATATTCCGCTACAACTTCATAGTAGTGTTTTATTGATAGAAATTATTTATGCTGCCATCATTCGATCTTACTTGATCGCATTTTTTAAATTGAAATGATTTTATATTGCATCACAACTTCAACAGAAACAATTTCATATTGTGTTACATAATTAGCCCACTGACCTCATGCTCATTTTGAGCATTCCCATCATCCTCAACTAGCGCAGGTGGGTGCACCATTCCATTATCATACCTAAAAAAAATGCCTTAATACACAATATCAAAAGTAAGAACACAGTTCATAATCAAGCAATTTGAGATAGATATATGTGAAATGAGAGACTAGGTAACCTTCTTTTGAATACCTGGAATGACTGTGGGCAAACTGAGCACTGATACACATTCTCTCCCCGTGCATTCCGTGCTCTCTCGAGATCCTCGTCATCAGCAGCAGCTGCGGCAGCTAGAGCATCTTTCTCCACCATGATGATGTCCTCCTCGCTATATGTACCACCTGCATTTGCTCCCGGTCCGCCAACAACAATGAATACATCGATTTTCTGTGTCAACTCATATAACTTCCGTCTTAATGCACGGATTTTCTCACTAAGTGGTGGAGTATTTCGAGCCGAGAGAGACGAACTGAACTCATATGCATCGACAGTTCTTCGGATGCAGGTAGGACATAGCCGACCTTCTGGTACAACCTGTAATAGAACAGATAAAAATATAAGAAATTACATGTAGAAAAACTTGATATCATCAGTTCAATAGAAAAATGGCAGTATTCAAAATGTACATTTTTTACAAAACAAACAGTTATTTTTCCTTTAAAGTTTTAAATTTGACGGCATGGTAAAAGGATGCAATACTAGCTTCTAATTTGGAAAATTGTCATTTTTCTATTTAATTGATGATATATTTTAGCCTCGAAGTGTATCTATGTTTGATAACTGTTGCCTGCTGTGTGCATATGTTTAGAATATCAAATTAATTTCATTTAATTTTTATAAGTAAAGGATTAAAAGTTTAAAGGGAAATGTAGTACAGAAGGTAACCCTATAAAACAAAGTATTGTAACAACTATGCAGTCTATATCTGAACTACAGAGTATCCAATTGTCCTCTCAATGTACATATCTACAGTAATATACTTATTTTAAACATTAATATTACAATGTATATGTCTATAAAGCGAACAAATGTAGTAAATAAACAAAATCTTTAAAACAAACCCGAATATATAACCAATACCCCCAAGACCCTTAATGAAAAACTGTGTACGGGTCCAGAAGAAAAAGGAAAAAATAAACTAACCTTATTATTATTGAGGTGCAGTAGCATGGTTCGCAGCGGCACCTGCAGCGGCTCTCCACCTGCATCGTGCTCCTCTGGGGTCAGTAATTCGCCTCCTCCATCGGCGCCACAAATTGTACACAACTCGGTTTCTGACTCTGTCTTCATAACCGTTGCCATCATAATTAGTCTTAAAAATATACACTAATAAAAATAATTCTCTTTATTTCAGACTAACTGAGAAACAATTATAAAAATAATTACTATATTTCAATATCAAAACAAATAAATATGAAATGTAGGTTAGATGCCGACTGGAAATGACTGGCGTCAATGTCATATCAATCATTGTCAATCTGTACATAACTAAGCGTCGGCTGTTAATTTGCGTCTGAGGAGGGACATTCCATTGTCAAGGATATTAAATTTACATTTTATTGCTTTTCACGCGTTATGTACACCGTAATAATAATAATACAATTTATGATTTATTTTCACGTAGATTCAAGATTTCATTTCTATATTTTTATTTATTGAATGAAAAATTTGTTCCGATTTAAATTTAAGAATAAATATATTTTAGTTACGTAGTTAATATCATGTTTTATTTATTTTAAATCTAGATATTAGAAAATAGATAGTATTCGTAATATTTTTTCAGTTCATTATATTATCTATAATAAGTCGATTGACTATTTGACTGATATTGAATGACATTTGATTTGTCTTGTCAGTTGTCAAACAATTTATTTTCGCCGCCCGCCATAGCTCTTGTTTTGTTTTCGTCCGTGAAATATCGAAAATACATCTCAATTTATCTAGTGAATCTTTTATATATCCAGAAATATTTGAAGAAATTATAGTTTTTTATCAGTAAACATGTCTATCGGTGTGCCTATTAAAGTACTGCACGAAGCGGAAGGTCATGTAGTAACCTGTGAAACAAATACCGGCGAAGTGTACCGCGGAAAGCTTATTGAAGCCGAAGATAATATGAACTGCCAAATGACTCAAGTAACTGTTACGTACAGAGACGGGCGCGTCGCTCAACTGGAAAATGTTTACATTAGAGGGTCAAAGATCAGGTTCCTTATATTACCTGACATGTTAAAAAATGCACCAATGTTTAAACGACAAGGGAACAAGCCGACAGCGGGACGGGGGAAAAGTGCTATATTGCGAGCACAAGGTTAGTTTATATAGTTTCTAATGTATGTTTCTGCAATAGTGTTTGTACTGACATGTATCAGAAATCATGTCACTAAACCGCCACCGTTTGAATATAAAAAGCCACTGTAAATAATCCTAACCATTTAGTAAAATTGATATTATTCTCCTATACCATAGTTCGTATCTGTATCTCTGTGTTTTGTAAGTCTCAAGCAAGAGAAGCCATAATTATATGCATGTGTGTCATTTTGTTTAGGGACAGTAAAGTGTAAATAAATAAACATCTTGGTCAATATCTAAAATCAGTCAAGACAAGTTTTAACTTAAACAATAACTGGCAAAGAAAATACCATGTGAATAAATAGTTCTGACTTTGCCTTTAGTTTAATTTTGTTTATAATTTAATAACATTGCAATTATAATAGTATTCAATGTTTTAATGAGGCCTGGAATGGTGCCCTCACTTGCACTAACTGGCTGGTCATCCAGTCAAAGATCAACTGACTTTATATAACAACTAGCTTACCTTAGCCCCGTTTAAAATCTCCTAGTAGTGCCTTTAGACTAGTCATATCCGCCAGGCAAGAGTTGACCTTTAGTTGCTTCATAATTTCTTCCATGGGTTTTTTCTTATGGATGATAATGGTATGGTGCACCTGCCTGCGCTAATGGTTTACACTGATGGGGCATCTTTGGAGAATGATAAGATGAACATGAGGTCAGCTAAGTTCACCCATCATGGTAAATTGACCATGGGGAACCATGTGGAGGTCATCCTGCCATAGTACAGTTGCTAGCAATGGGGTTATTATTTCACAAGAATCCCCATCCCTCCTCCTTCCACAGGTTAGTAGTGCCATCTGCACTCTTTCTGAATAGTACTGTGAAGCAACTGCCAACAACTTAGGATTAGTTTGGCGATAAAGGCAGATTTATGAGGAATTAACCATGATAGGTTCCTAGGGACAACACATTCAGCTCGATCTGTCATGGTACCTTGCTGGCAATAGGTTCACCTCCACCCTCTATATAACACATTTGCTGCCAACAAGTTTCTCAGGCCCAAGTTGCAATGTTTAACAGAGAATTTGTGACTGACAGCACTGAATGGCAAGTTAAAGTAGTCACCGCTGACTGACAAGGCGGTGAATGTGTTAAAGACCACATGACCATCAGTGTGTCACTCTGCAACTAAAGCAAATTTACACATTGAAACCGGGTGATCACCTGTGGGCACTGAAATTGAAATAAATCTAGAGGTTGAATAATGTCCACCTGAAATTAGTCTACACTAAAAACATTAAGAAAATAATATATGTAATTAACAATAAAAAAATGCTGGTCCCTATGTGATAAATAACATTTTTAATACAGTCTTTAACATGTTAATTAAATATCAAGTATGATATGATATAGTGAATAATATTGGAAGATGATATTAGGAAGGTAGCAGGACAAGGTTGGACTCAGAGAGCAAGGGACCGAATGCTATGAAAAACTTGGAGGAGGTCTATGTCACATCATGGCAGACTGTTGACATTCTGATGGAAAAAAAAGGAATAATGAATTAATAAAAATAAACTAACAGCAACACAGTGCCTAAACACATGTACAAATATCTAAAGTTAATGAACTAAATACAGACTTTTATAATAATAAAAAAAAACCTGTGGAAAAAACCAGCAAAAGCTGAGAGAGTGAGACGATGATGATAATAATAATAATTTCTCTCCCTGGGGCCCTGAACCCCGGCCGACTGTGCCTCTGCCGGGGGTATGTTGCCATCTCCTCTCCTTAAGAGGGGAGATGAGAATTTTTGGATAAAAATAGTAATAATAATAATAATAGCTGAGAAAACAAATATAATAATAATAATCTCAGGACAATTCACACAGCGCCATCTAGACCCAAGTTAAGCTAGCTAAAGCTTGTGTTATGATACTAGATAACTGATACATATACATAGATTTTTTTTGTAAATACATACATATTATACTTAGAAAATACACTCATGAATACAAATGTTTGTGCAGTGCAAGGAATCGAACCCGCGACCATCGGTCGTAAAGCGGTGTGTTAGACCACCTAATATAATTATTATTGTGACATGTAGTAAATAATGGTGTTGTTTTGTTTGCAGCTGCTGGGCGGGGTCGGCCGGGCGGCCGCGGCGGGGGGCACCGCGGCGGCTGGCAGGGCGGCTCCGGACCGTCCAGGCGTTAGCCAACACTCTCTTAAAATTAGTCTGTGTTGGAGTACATGAACTGGTTGGTATCATGTACTCGAACACGATTTCTTAAATTTAGGTACAGCTGGTTACAAATAAGTAATTTTAAAGCCTCTTTAATTATATTTGACATTTTCCCGTGAAAGAATAGTGTACATCCCTCACTTTTGAAATTGACTGTACTACTTATTATAAATAAGTCATACACTAAGATTATTAGTATATAGAGACACTTCAAAATAATAATTTCTTGTAAACTGCCAGTCTGAATGACACTGAGTGTGCGAGTCAGGTGTTTCAAGTCAGATCTAATACATGGACTTAAGGAAATCACTGCTAATTGGCAATTTATTACTTTGTGGTACTAAATCACGTTTTGTTATAGTAATTAATATAACACTGACTTTAAAAAGGCCAAAGTATAATTTCTGAAACAAAAGTTTAGTAGTGTCTACCGAATAATAAAAATTATATTAAGAATAGATATTAAGTATCATAAAACATGCAAACCTAGAGTAGTAAAGGTAAACCCTATAGATATAGTTATTTATAACTAGTTTTACCCGCGACTTCGTCTGTTTGAAATTTAACAAAAAAATTAGAGAAATTTTCTAAAATAAAAGTAACCTAAGTTACTCCTTATCAGTCACTCTACATCAGCTATCTGCCAATAAAAGTCAAAATCGGTCCAGCCATTTCAGAGATTAGCCGGAACGAACAGACAACATTTTTTTTTAATTTTATTTTGGTGTATGTATTTATATTCATATGCTTGTAGTAAGAAACGGTTATATCACAAAGAGAGACTACAATTTTATTTATATGTATAGATTTTCTCTAATATTTATTAAAAAATCTGCCCATTAGCAGTTATTTCCTTAAAATTAAAGATTGAAACATGATCTCTCTGTGTGACTTGTATTTATTCAATTGTTTTTGTTATCTCAGAAAGATATCAGCAGTACAGTTAACATAAACCTGTGGATGCATTATTATAATAAAAATGTCTGCACTTGTGTGCATTTGTATGAAGTGCTTGTGATAAATATGATAGGAGTGTGTACGAAATAAATTGATGGACAACAAATCGTGTGTTTCAATTAAAACTCGTGATTTTAAAAACTCGTTAATTATATACCGGTTGCATATACCTTGATATACCTTGGCTTTCATCTGGACAGAAGACTTGCATGGAAGTATCACATAAAAATGAAAAGATGAGATGAGCCTCAAATTCAGAGACCTAAACTAGCTCATGGGGATGAATTCGGTGCACTCTGCGGACAATAAACTCCAAATAAATGTCTGTCCTAAAACCAATCTGGACCTATGGTATCCCACTGTGGGCTACGGCCAGCAATACAAACATCATGTGCCTACAATATTGGGAAGTTTCAGAAATGATACATATACCTTCATATACCTTGGCTTTCATCTGGACAGAAGACTTGCATGGAAATATCACATAAAAATGAAGAGATGAGATGAGCCTCAAATTCAGAGACCTAAACTGGCTCATGGGGAGGAATTCGGTGCTCTCTGCGACAATAAACTCCAAATATATGTCTGTCCTAAAACCAATCTGGACCTATGGTATCCCACTGTGGGCCAGCAATACAAACATGTGTCTACAATATTGGTAAGTTTCAGAAATGATACGTCGATACAGCAGTACTTTTATTTTATACCTTTTTCAAATTCCACTCCACATAAATTGCATCGCTGTACATTCACGTCTGGTCGTCTCATTCGCCTCGAACAGAGAGAGAGCAGCCCCTCCTTGTTCCTGGTAAGTAGCTGTGACGTGGTCGAGTGGATTGAGTAGTCATACTCACTAAAATGTCCAGACATGTGGCGGCGTGGTGGGCCGGGTCAATGTGCTCCCTAAAATATGGTCGAGCGCAATGATGGCTGGCTCATCCATCATACTCGTAAACGAGTGCTGCTTGTAGGGACTGGTCTGCTCTTATCACTACGACTGATTTAATCTTATTGTATATTTATATTTTGACCCAAAAAAAATAGTGCTGGTGGGTAGTTTGTATTCACACGTTTCGACTTGTAAATGTAAACTTACAAGGATTATTTAAAAGAGCAACACACAAGTTTCTTGCTCGTTCTTGTGATGAGACAGCTTTCCGAACGAGCGGTAGATAAAAAAATATTATGACTATTCAAAAGTTTATTTGTATAAATGATTTTCTATTCTATTCTATTCTTTATATCTACTACTATTGGTGGCGGCAAAATCACGTGACTCACTATGGTTTTAAATTTGAAATGTAAGTTACAAACTAGTCAACTGAGTGTTATTTATGTATTAAAGCTAACAACAAAGAGTGCAAAATGGCATCCTGCGTATTATAGCAAATACACCATGGTTCTCGAAAAAATACAATGATTCTTCACGTCTATGGTGAATAGATATCTTCTGGGTAAGCGCGCTAAATCCTAGGTTTAACCATCATTTCCCATCAGATGAGGTAAGACCAAGAGCAAACTCATTAATACTAAAAAAAAATGTGATTTATAAGTAACTGTATGTGCCAACAATTCATGACGAATATTTAATCGAATTAGGTGTTATTTCCGGAAGTCCATTTCACTACTCGATGGATTTATATAATTTTGTTTAATTCCGCTACAATGTCCGCAACATGTGTGAGACTACGAATGTTCGGTGCGGAAACCTGACCAGCGCTACGACCCTCCAGTGGTGATCAAATTCCGACCGTTATTGAGTCTACACCCATATTGCGACACGTGTTTCGCCTCTGAACGAGGCATCATCAGGCGTTAAATATAGATCGGGTACAGCTCGGAAGTCTAGTGTTGACTCATCGGCGACCAAACCTCAACTGTCTTTGGCGATTTGAGGTCTCACACATGTCGATTGTGGCGGAATTAAACAAAATGATTTAAATCCATCGAGTAGTAATTCATGACACAATAAAGCGCTACAAGAAGTATACAGACAGACTGTCCAGCCACCCCAATCCATTGGCAGCACAGCTCTTGGATCCTTCTCACACAGTCGAGAGAGTGAGCAGGAGGAATATGCTACAGAAAGGCAGAAGTGGTAGTGATCTCTTCACCCACATATTCAGCAGCACTCAACACATCAGCAAAAAAAATATTAAATGGCCGCCATCAATTTTGATCGGTGATTATGCCAATGTCATAGTTTGTAGATAGATAGATATATAGAATGTACTTTATTTGCAACGTACAGTAAAGAAGAAGCACAAACAATATAACAAAGAACACATGTATCGTTACAATAAGACGGCCTTATTGCTAAAAGCAATCTTTTCAAGGCAACCTTAGGGAAACGGATTGTAACATCGAACAGGTAGGTAAAATGACATGAACAGGAGAAAACTAAAAGGTAACAAATATATAATGATGATAAAGGAAAGTAATAATAAATATTATATGAATTAAAATTTATGTACATAGTAATATTTATATATTAAACTAGATGTCAGAAAGGTTAAAGAGTAATCGTTTATCGTGGTATGGGCATGTAATGCGTAGGAATGAAGATCATATCCTAAGGACGGTGTTACATATGAATGTGGATGGTTTTAAGGGTAGAGGAAGACCGAAAAAGAGATGGATGGACTGTGTGAAAGATGATATGGTAGAAGGAAATATATTTAGATTATAACCTAAAAAAGTTTCATTGTTTCACTTAAACAATGACGATACTTTTATACAAATAACGGAATTACAGAGATGAATGGAAGAAAAAACATATTACGCCGAAATAAATGGGATAAGGAAGAAGCAGATGATGATGACACTTAAATAAACTACATACATAATTTTAAAGTTAAATAGAATAAACTAAATATAAATGCCATACTAACTGAAATTTAAATATTGAGGAGGAAATCTTTTACTTGCCGTTTAAAAATATGAATGGACTTTGCAGTTCTGATAGATATAGGTAACGAGTTCCATAACTTGATACCAGTTACAGTATAGGAATTGTGATAGAATTCAGTGGAATGGGAAGGAGTGGAAAGCAAGAGATTTTCGGAAGAACGTAATAATAAAGAATGAGTAGAAGAGGAAAACATGAAACGTTCTTTGAGATAGGAAGGAGCTTTGGGATACGTATCTCGCGGTATCTCGAGTTATCCTCGCGTTATGCATATCTCTTCGCTGTCGTATAGTAAGCCACTTAAGTTGGGTACGATATTGCGATACATGATCAAATGCAGATGTAGCTGTGGCGTATTTCAGTTTGTTCAGTAAAGTTTGACAATTTCGTCCGAGTTCGGCATACAGTGGACCCACGACTATCCAACAATCGTTTTGCGGGGCTGTGTCGGAACATCGAATTTGTCGGACTATCGAGTACTGCCTAAGGGTCCCCTATAATCCGGATTTTTAAACAAAAGAGGATCTTGTAATCCGACAAATTACAGATCCAGTGATTATTCTATGTTATATATGTATGTATGTATATGCACTTTTAAGTATAAATCAAACTTCATTATGTATGTCAACTACTAAAGGAAAGCTAGCCTTGAAAGCTTCACCGAACAATAATAATAATAATAATAATAATAAATAATAATAATAAAGACATTTATTCAGCATTACAGTATTCTTAGATGCTATCTATCTTATATACTATACAATTTAAAAGCTAAAAGCTAAAACATACTAGTAACGCTGAATGTGACTCCCAACATTAGCATTTATATATAATTTGTATATATATACCACAGTGCTGATTTTCAGTGATACCACACACGAGAGAGCGTACGTAAAGATTTTTACTAAAGAAAATAAAAATAAACGTTAAAATTAAGACCATTTTATAAATAGGTATCAAAATGTATGTAAAGATAAATGCAATTTTAATTAATGTATGTATTTAGTATATTCTGTATATTATTTAAGTAGGTATATTGCTATGTAATAAGATATTTATTATAATAAAATTTATATATATATTTATATTTAAATAGGGGGCGATTCGTAGAAATAAGTATATATTAAACCCGCTGAAGGACTTATAGAACGCATAATCATTTTAATGATAACATAATCGGACGAATATACGAAAAAAAAATGATAACAACCTCAAATCAATACTGAAATATTTGTGATGAGTGAAAATTGTATGATATGAAATTATTATTGAAAATTTTTTTTCATGTCATTATCATTTTTTTGACAGAATCATGCTCTCGCTCTTTCACTTGATTCATTCATTTACTAGTTGAATTCTTCTAACTCGAGTTAACTTGAATTATGCGCAACTCGTGTTGAGACCTACGCACAGTGAGCCTGATCTTACATAGAAATGTAGGCGTGCAGACATGTCCTAATAATACAAACGTAAGATTTCAATTAAAACTCAATATAGTGTATTTACAAATATTTATTTATTCACCTGTACACCAACTTACGTAGTAAGTCTTCATATCGAGTCCATATTCTAATTACTATGCTATCACATTTGTTACACTTATTACATCTAAAGTACATTCTAGTAGTTGTTACACTCAACTCATGTTGACAATTGACTCTCCAAAGTTATTTGTTTTCTAATTATCTTATTGTATTGTTTAACAAAAAGTGTGTGTTATATGTGTAAATTTTTAGATTATAATAACTGTAGACAATTGACACAGCGCCATCTAGTCCCAAGCTTAACAGAGCTTGTGTTATGGGTACTAGACAACTGATATCAATACATAGGTTTATTGTTGTAAATACATAAAAAATACTCAGACGATACAAACAATCATACTCATGAATACAAATGTACCGCGCGAGGAATCGAACCCGCGACTATCGGAGGTAAGGCGGTGTGCTATCTCTAGAACACCGAGAACGTCCAAATATCAATTCAGAATTTAATTAAAATCTTAGTTTAAATTTTGTAATATTTCAGTCTTGCTAAAAAAAGTATTTTAAAAGTAATTTTACAAAAATGTACATTTTTTTATAAACTGTTTTAAACTTGACGCGGTCATTATTTATACGTATAATTAGTAAAAATCACGGGATCTTACCACGTTTTATATTTATTTGCTGAGTTCCCGATATTTCGGCTGTGTTTCAACCACCATGATCACGGGTAAACTGAACAGCAGCGGGTAGATGGAAAATGAAATCTTTTTATGGGCAGACATATGCGTCTACCTTCACACGTCTTCGTTTGTTGCTACTACTGGAACTCGCTCGACATTCATCTCGGCAAACTGTACTCACAGTATCTTTACGTACATTTAATACACTTTTCGATCGCGTTTTTTGATTTTGTTTAATTAAACCAATCACTGGATTCCAGGCATTACAGAGCCTATAACCGTCTTCTCGATTGAAATTTTTATATCTTTGTGTTTCACAACACAACACCGCCGAAATATCGGGAACTTAGTAAATAAATTTAAAACGTGGTAAGATCCCATGATTTTTATTAATTATACATTGATTTTTTGATATGCAGAGATTCTAGACTTAGATCTTACATTATAATGTAGATTACTACATCACCTGTAGCAGTTAGTAGATTTTCTGCCTGTTACTTGGCAGAAAATCTAAAGTTAAGATATTCAATATTTTTTGGACAATAATCTAATTAACATTGTAATTCACTCAGCCTTCCATTGTACACTCAGCCCATAGTCTGTATTCGCTTAGTGTTCACTAAACGATACAAATCACTACAGATGTGATGATTCTAGCAACACTGCAATAAAGACTAATTCATCATTGCAAATTGCTGATTTTAAAGCTAACATTCCTGTCATTTTGGTGATGTCTATGCAGCCGAGGGAGATAAAGTGCGAATCTGTCCTTTCAACGCACAGCTCCGGCGATCATTGAAATTTCGTTTTCTGAAGATTTCAGTAATAATGAGTGCGTAGCGTTTTCTATGTTGATTATCGCATGCCTCTTACTTGTAACACTGTAATTATTGTATATAAAAAAAACATCTATTCAAAAGAGCAACACACGAGTTTCTGGCTCATTCTTCTTGTGATGAATCTGCATTTAGAATGGGTGGTAGAATCAAAATATGACTATTCAAATGTGCTTGTAATGAGGTCATTTGAATAAAGATTATTTCTATTTCTATTTCCTCTGAATGATGTGGTCCACTCTAGATGCCTAGACATGCCAGAAAGATTTTGCGTCTTTAGAGGTTCGTCTGGCTCTTATAGCAACTTAAGCTGTATAAGAAATACAGTTCAAATTAGTCTAAATACGCAACTATTTTTTTTTCGATTCCTCAAAGCTGGGGTCGTGGCTAGCTTTGCCAGATGTCCCGTATTTCCCGGAGGGTTCCGATTTTTTGGGCTTAGTGTAAAATGTCCCGGCGGGACTGATTCTGTCCCGTATTCGAATCGTGCTCCGTTTTTTCTTATTAAATCTATCGATCTATGCTAAACCAAAATGCTCGCGACTAAAATTCACGGCGTTCGAACCCCTGATGTAATAAAAAGCAAGTTGAAGATCGTTCTTAATTACGATTATAATGGTAATGTTTTTCATAAATATGTTTGTTCAATATCTACTGATGTAATAAAAAGCAAGTTGAAGATCGTTCTTAATTACGATTATAATTGTATTGATTTTTATAAATATGTTAAAACCAATAAAAATATGTTAAAACTGACTTGCTCCTCAGAAAAATATTAAAAAAAAGAATATCACTATATAATTTTGTTTTATGTTTATTTGTCCTGGGTAAAAAACTAAATTCTGGAATTTTTTGCCTATTTAAGCGTTTGCCGCTTATAGATTGAAAAAAATCTGGCAACTCTAGTCGTGACCACCAGGAATTCTTCCAACCAAATCTCCTATATATATTTCATTTGACAGCATCTCATCGGAGTCATAGAAATAGAAAGAGAAATAATCTTTATTTAAATAAACTCATTACAAGCACTTTTGAACAGTCATATTTTGATTCTACCACTCATTCGGAATGCAGATTCATCACAAGAAGAATGAGCAAGAAACTTGTGTGTTGCTCTTTTTAATATAGAGTCCATTTGACTATATTTTTATTTGTATTTCCTCCGCGTAGTGGAATTTTTAAAAAGCAAACTACTAACTTTACATTTTGCAGAATACACAAGGATTCTCAGTCGACTGCATAGACACCTAATATACACCGCTCAATTTCTTCTGAAACTTCTTTAGTAATCTCTTCAGTGCTACTAAAATTAAGATTCTGGCAACATCGAAGTTTTACATAGGATTGGTAAATATTTTTTACAAAATTTAGTCAAGTAGGTACATTAAAATGCCCAATAATTAATGATGAGGCAGAATGCTTATGTTATTAGCTTTAGAAAATAATTGCATGACTGACTTCGTTATCTTATATATAAAATTCTCGTGTCACAGTTTTCGTTCCCATACTCCTCCGAAACGGCTACCGATTCTCATGAAATTTTGTGAGCGTATTGAGTAGGTCTGAGAATCGGCCAACATCTATTTTTCATCCCACTAAATGTTAGGGGTAGTCCACCCCTAATTTTTTTTTTATTTTAAGACAAAACAACGTTTGCCGGCACAGCTAGTTTTTTATAAAGATTTTTGATAAGAATCTACAACTGAAAAATAAAACTCGCATTATTGGGAGTTTCTACAATATATAATAAAAAACTGTTAATGAGGTATTTGAGAAACTTTTTGACAAAAGTTTAGTCTAAAACAATATAATTAAATGAATAATAATAATAAATAACCCTGGACAATTAACACAGCGCAATCTAGTCCCACGGTAAGCAGAGCTTGTGTTATGGGTACTACACAATTGATATAAATACCTACATTTTTTAAAATACATACATACAGATATAAAACACCCATACAAACAGTGCTACTCATGAATGCAAACATTTGCACCGTGCGAGGAATCGAACCCGCGACAAACAAGGAATGTTAATGTGGTATTGAGAATCTTTTTGATGCAGAAGTTTAGTCTAAAGACTGTTTTAAAATATTGGTCGATAGATACTATATTGATACTAGCTGTCCCGTGAAACGTTGTTTTGTTTTAAAATAAAAAAAAAATTTAGGGGTGGACTACCCCTAACATTTAGGGGGATGAAAAATAGATGTTGGCCGATTCTCATACCTACTCAATACGCTCACAAAATTTCATGAGAATCGGTCAAGCCTCCGAAACGGCTTGACCGATTCTCATGAAAGGAGCAGTATGGGAACGAAAATTGTGACACGAGAATTTTATATATAAGATATTGATAGATGTATATCTTTCGACCAATATTTTTATTATATATATCACGTTTAATTTTAATGTACCTACGAGTACTTGTAGCGTATTTCTACATCTTCACATACGTATCTTATATACTATGTACACAGCAACATAACTACCATTTGATGTAAATTCATGTATGGGGCACTCCTATTTAAGAAAGTTTCAAGTACTTTCTTTGATTTAACACATTAGCTACCTTTAAACATACGCTACATCACGCACGAATCGACTTTCACGCTGGAAAGAGCGAGCATGTAAATGTTAAACAAAGAACGAGAAGACGCGTGTGCAAACAGTGAGCGCACTGAGTGAAATCGTAATTAATTACAAAAAGGCGCTAAAACACGAACAATCAATCACAATCAATCACAAACAATCTGACAGTAGATTTGACATATCATAAGAGTCTGTAATAGACCTACATGAGTAAAGATATTTAGAATAGAAATAGACGAGCGCGCAAACAGTGAGTGCATTCCCGCGTATTTCTATTGTGCATGTTTTAGCGCCTTTTTGTAATTAATTATGATTACAAAATGGCGGACATCGGACTATAGACCAAAGACAATTATAGAGTTATTGATAAATTATAAATCTTAAGCCTGTTTTTGGTGAATAAATATTATGATTGCAAAATGGCCATCTCTTATGTATACCTACAGTTATTGAATAAAATATTAAACTGTCTTTGGAATAAAAATTATAAAAAATATATTTTTTTAAGAAAGTGAAATAGATAACAATCACTCGCGATTACGCGCGCTCCTTTTTTTTCGGACTACTCTAATGCTGTTGGCCGCAGCTGGCCGTTACAGCTTTGCTGGACGATAGGGAGCGAGTGCAGATGACACTCCAAACCAAAGGAAGGACTTATGGAGCGGCTGAAGGTCCACTCCCGACTGACGGACACAATTTTAGTCTGAGGATTAGAATCTCTGCTCAGGTCATCGTAATTTCGATCCTCGTTTGAATTGGACGAGGGATCGAGCGGAGGGGAGTGCGCTCCTGGGGGGCTAATTACGTAACTTAGTGAAAATGACGTCATCTGTCAGCAACTCGATTATATTGACGCATGGCTGTATAAGCTGAGTCATTTTGCCTTTCCCTGAAACGGGAAAAACCGATCCCAAAAAAAATACCCTGTCAATTAGGATTGTAAAGGAAATATTAACATATCCGTATAATTATATGTAGGGAATGACGTCTCTGATCGCGCGTGAAAGAACGTGTATACAGGTAGCAATTACTTTAGTGCCCCCGGCCCCCTGCGTCAGTGTGGCGTCACTTGCTGGCGTCCTTCTTGTCGGCGACGCCGGGCGCGGCGGGCGGGGCTCCGGTGCGGGCGGTTAGCGCGCGGTGCAGGCGCTGCGCGGGGAGCTCCACCAGCAGCGCCAGCGGCAGCGCCGCCATGTACGACACGAATGCCACGCCGAACCACTCCAGTATCTGGAATCAACCGTTCACATCACACGTACTGTCCTTCCTACTAATCTTATGTTACGTTTACATTCAGCCGCTTCCCCTGCCACTCGCGAATGCAAAAACACGCTGCCACTCGCGCACGAAAAGCGCGAGCAGCGACACTCGTGTTTACACTCTCGGGCTGCTCACTTCCCTGCCCACTCGGGCTGAGTGTAAATTGGGCATAATTACTGATATTATAAACGGATGTTTGTGAGTATGGTTGGATGTACTCTGTCATGCAAAAACTATTGAACGAATTTTGATGAAACTTTACAGTAATATAAGTTATAAATCAGGATAACACATAGACTATAAATTAAAAAGATGTAAATTAAGCGAAATATAATAAGAAATGACGAGTAAGTGTGATGCAAAGTTGCGCAGGTTAGCTAATCTATGTAATATTATGTTATCTGTGGCTAATCTATACATATAAATAAAATTGGAGTGTCTGTTTGTATATATTGAATTAACCGTTTTTTACTACATGCACCACAAATAAATACAGTACATACACCAAAACAACATTTTTTTGTCTGTCTGTCTGTCTGTTGACATTAATCTCTGAAATGGTTGGACCGATTTTGATGGGACTTTTATTGGCAGGTAGCTGATGTAATGAGGAGTAACTTAGGCAAGTTTTATTTTAGAATAAATCTCTAATAAACTTTTTAGATAAATTCCACGCGGACGAAGTCGCGGTTACAGCTAGTTTGTAAATGAGAAAAAACGTCGCCAGCGCCTGACGCGTGTCTATAATATAGATGGTGAGGTGGGAAGGTGATTGTTAGTAATGTGGACTGATGATCTCATTGCTAGCAATGTACCATGTCAGGTCGACCTCCACGCGGTTACCCCTGGAAACCATCGTTATAAATTCTTGGTCAATTTGTCACTATGGGCTAAATGACCTGACCTCAAGCTCATCTTATCATGCTCCACTGGTGCCTCCGTAAACCGGAACGCGGGTGGATCTTTCCATTATCATCCATGAAAAAGAGAATATGGATGGTGTGTGGTGGATGGCAGGTGGTGACTGACCGCGGTCTGCCTGTCGAGCTGTGTGGGCGCGAGGCGGGCGGCCACCAGCGACTTGTTGATGATCATGTGCAGCATGAGGGCGCCGAACGACAGCCGCGCGCACGTCGCCCAGCCGCGCCACGACAGCACCGACCGCACCGGCGCTACACCGAAAAATACAAAAGAAAAAAAGGAAAAATTAAAATATAAATCTTTGAGTATTACATCACACAGAAAAGAAAAAAAAAAGAGAAAATTAAATTATAAATCTCTGAGAACCACACAGAAAGAAATAAAAGATAAAAAAAGGGAAAATTAAAATATAAATCTTTGAGTATTACATCACACAGAAAAGAAAAAAAAGATAAAAAAAGAAAAAAAATTCGTCAAGTGTGACACTGTGTCTTAAGTTAGGTTAAATTTAGTTTAATGGTAAATATCATCAGTACATGGTATAAAACAAAGTCGCTGTCGCTGTCTGTCCGTCCCTATGTATGCTTATATCATCATTACATAGTATAAAATAAATAGTAAGTATGCTTAAATCTTTAAAACTACGCAACGGATTTTGATGCGGTTTTTTAACAGATAGAGTGATTCATGAGAAAGATTTCTATGTATAATACATGTACACTTGAGCGAAGCCGGGGCGAGTAGCCAGTAGAAAAATAAGAGAAAAAAAAAGAAAAATGTTTGTCAAGTGTAAATATCTGTTCTCAAGTTATGTCCCTAACTTAAGTTAGTTTTAAAGTAAGCCATCCTAAAAGACTCTTACTTCAGAGACAAGAACCCTTGAGGGCTCTTGTCCCCGGAATTGACCCCTCTTTGCTCCGGGGACAATTTCTTAAAACAAAAATATTTTAATAAGAAAACTTATATTATGACGACCTCGGTGGTCTAGCGGTCTAGTACACCGCTTTACGACCGATGGTCGCGGGTTCCATCTCCGCACGGCACAAACATTTGTATTCATGAGTATGATTGTTTGTATCGGTCTGAATGTGTTCTATGTATAATAGGTATGTATTTACGAAAAAAATGTATTTGTATCAGTTGTCTAGTACCCTTAATAAAATTTAGTTAGTTTAACTTGGGTCTAGATGGCGCTGTGTGAATTGTCCTGTGATGATTATTATTATGGTGTTTTCTATAATATGTATGGAATTACGAAAAAAAATTCTATGTATTTGTATCCGCGCCACCCACCCCGTTGTCGCCGGCGTACCCTTACACCACCGGAACACCTGCGCACCGCACCGCTCTTACACTCGTATTTATAAACGAGTAATTACTTGTTGCTTGATCTGTGTGAAGTAATTACTTGAACATAGATTATTATTATGTTTTATAGACGAGACAGCGCACGCCGTTGATGGCAAATGCATAAAAATTAGCATAAGTGAGTAAGACACGTAATGCTTGGTTCTCTCTGGCAACACTAAACTTTGGCGTTTTGTTACATAAATAGCCGAACGCGAAGTTTGTATTTAATTTATAAAGTCTTACTAGACATATCCATACCTATGTATATTTATACAAAATCCATAACTACAACAAAACTTTTCATACAACTCGCAATTTCAATAAAAATATATACTCTTTTCAACATATATTATCTGCAAGATTGGAGAATTAAAACGCGTGACACAGTATAACTCGGCCGAATTAAAATGTTTCTGTTTGACAAGTTGGCGCTTCGTAATAGTATAGTTGACCCTTCCTGCACCACGCTACACAAATCTTCGATACTCTACGACTACCGCTATTAAAACCATTGAGGTTCGTACACGAGTCGCGTGACTCGCGTCGCACCAGTCGTGCGCTACGCCTCTTCGTACACAAGGCCAGGGGCGGATCGTGAATTTGTGGCACCCTAAACTAGATCTACTTAGGGGCCTACGTAATTAAATTACTGAACTAAAAAATGCAGCGACAAAAAACGAGTGACCAAAAATTCCCCGTTCCTTTCGATAGACGCGTGCTCGCATTGGTTGATTGATCTCCGGATCCAACCTTATGATAGGTTTGTTTTAAAATTCTAGATATTTTTTATATTCTAAATATCGCTTCAGAGAGGACTGTCCCAGGGCATTGCAGCCCAAGGCCCCGAAGATACAAAGCATCCCTCTTTGTATCCTCGGAGCCCTGGTCCGTAACCCAAAAAGCCCTTAGGTAAATCCGCCCCTGCACAAGGCTAGTAAAATCTTTGATACTGATGTTGTATAGTAAGTTAGTATCGAGTCGCGTACGGTCCATACACACGACATCGCATCACAACATGAAAATAGCCTATTCAATCACTAATAGGCATAGCGACTGAACAGATCACACGTTTACAAAATGTTTAATGCTCCGCCATCTTAGATTACGCCGCAACTTATGTAGCGACGATGTCAGCACTTATGTAGCACACGACTGGCGAGGTGCGAGTCGCGGGATCACTCAATGGATATATATGGTCACTCGGAGAGTAAAATTGTAGAGTATCGAAGATATGAGTAGCCGGACGTACGAAAAGAGCAAGGCCCTTGCAATTCCAGTGCCAAAAATAATATACTATTTAGATAGGTAAGTACTCATACTATTATAAATGTAAATGAAACTCTATTTTCTACACTTAGGCTAACATTAGGACCGTTGTTGTTGTAAAACCGAACTCTTCCCAGGGACACAGAAACTTTCTGATCTCTTCATAGTTTACGGATATTTAAACCTTGAAAGGCCACTCCTACGGTCTCCAGAATTACTTGAACAGCCGTTTCAGATTAAGCAACTTTGAAGAAGCTATAATATATACCGTACTGACGACCTCAATGGTCTAGCGGTTTAATACCTTGGACTTGTGGACCCAGGTTCGATTCCTCGAACGATGCAAAGATTTGTATGACGATGAGTGTTGCTATTGCTCTGAATCAATTGTATATTCCGTATGTATTCAAATATTTCTACCTAGTATCCATATTGTAAGCTCTACTTAGCCTGAGCCTAGTATGGACTGCATGAATTGTCCAGGTCGTTGTTATGAGCGTCATAGTGGTACCTTGTAGTCGTTGAGTTGCACTCGGCGGTCGAGGAGCGCATGGTGCAGATGCGCGAGTAGCAGGCCGGCCAGCGCGCCCGGCAGGTTCCCCAGCGGAGACTGGTACAGCAAGTTGAATGACGCATCGCCCTTGTACAGCACGCGGATAGATCTGTGTACACACACTCATATATACTCACAAGTTATAATAGTTGTTGGACGAATTTTAATGCAGTTTTCAGCAATACATAGACTGATTGAAGAGAAGGGTTTATATGTATACATGCATGTCAATGGTATATTGGTATGTATGGAACAAGCCGAGAAAATAAAAGATTTGTAATAAATAAATAGAGTTACTCGGGCCTGTGGAGGACGAACGTGGGCACCAGCCGCCAGGAGTACGCGAGTAGGAAGTTGCCGCCGACGGAGGCCAGCATGAGCGCGCCCAGCGCGTACACCGCGCCCAGCCGCAGCCGCCACAGCGCCAGCGTCAGCACCAGTGACAGTGCGTACAGCTGCATGTCCGCCGCCAGGTACCTGACACACACCCAAACAATCATGCTCGGTATAAAGTTCAAACTTGTGGCGGTGTGGTGGGCCGGGTCGTTGTGCTCCCTCTAATATGGTTGAGTGCAATGATGACTGGCTTATCCGTCATATTTGTGAACGGGTGCTGCTTGGGGGACTGGTCTGTTCAGGTTACGAAGACTGATTAGACTTGTTGCTTTTGCAATAGCATATTCTGGTGGTCACTCTGTTCTCCCAAATTTGAATTTGGGATAACAGAGTGAACTGTGATGAATCAATCTGTATTATTGTAAACATGTACAACATTTATTTGAAAACAATACGAGCTGAGTTTCTTGTCAGTTTTTCTTATCTTGAAATCGTTCCGAACTGACGGTAGATTTGACATATCATAAGAGTCTGTAATAGACCTACATGAATAAAGATATTCGTATTTGAAATTTGAGTTTATTGGGGGATTTGGGCTATTGTCAGGTGCTAAGATTTGTAGCACTGTGACCTGTATAGATCTATTGTGCTCGCCCTTAATCAAACTTCGCTACCTAGGCCCGCAAGGGACAAGAATTGAAGGATATTCTTAGGAGCGATGGTTTTTGTCTCCTCAGGATATAATATATAATATACTTTCCAAAGGAGATATTTCCATTCATGACAGAGCTACAACCTGATAGGACGTGTAGTGGCGTAAAGGAAAGGTTTAAATTTTGGAAGTACTCGGAATTAGCGATTACCTATATTACTAACTAATAATAATTTCATCATCCAATCCAATCTCACCAAGTCTGTATGAGGCACTTGTCGTCGGGGTAGATGAGGTTGTTGAGGTAGAGGAGATGGGTCCACCACTTGTGCCTGCAGACGGCGGCCTCGGAGCCCACCAGCGGCGCCCACATGGGTCCGTCGCCCGCGCGCTCCCACCAGCTCGACGCGAACCACACCACCAGGAAGTAGCTCGGGCTCATTCTGAACAACATATATATTGTTAGAATCTTCTACTTTCCTGCGCCGGACCTCACTAGTATAGCGGCGTTATACCGCCTTGTCGCGCACAAGAGGACTAACAATCCCATTGCTAGCAATGAACCATATCAGGTTGACCTGCACGCAGTTCGCTCTGGAAACCATCATCTTAAATTTCTGGTGAATTTGGCACGATAGACTAACTAACCTAACATGCTCATCATTTTCTCCATTGGTACCCCCCCAGCGTACACCGTTAGCCAGGAGGAGTCCATTTCATTATCATCTATTAAGAAAAATGTATATTCGTTGTCTGTAATGCTGTCCATGTATATGCTTACCATCAGGTAGGCCATCAAATTGTTTGCCGATTAAATAAAAAAATGTACGGAACCTAATGATCCTATTAAACATGGTATGGAAGAATGTGGATATCTTGGGCACGTGCTGGCCCTGCCGCCGCTGTTGCAGCAACTTGTGCGCGAGCAGGAACGAGGACATGACGAAGAACACCTGCACCACTAAAGTGCTGTTGGTCATCAACACCACGTCTCCTGCGCGCCTCATCTGCAATACAACCACACATAGGTGTATTACATATAATAGTGTACTATAAAAAAGAAAACAAGAACATAGAAAAATACTAGACCAGCGTTCTTTTAAAATTAGTTGCAATATCCAAAGGCTCCAATCATCAACATCAGGTCATTCATATAATCGAATACTTTGACAAAAGTAAGAGAGTGATTCAAGAATTGATCATTACAGTGCAATTAGTTGGGAGAGTAGTGACAACTCTATAGATTTCATATTAAGACAATGACGTACAACAATTCATAAGTAAGCAATGTTTCAACTACGATGGATTAAAGCTTAAATTAGGGGACCACCTCTGAATTTAATTCGGGCAATGGTTAGGAGCGAGGGGTCGTGGCTGGCAGTGCTCACTGCGAAATAATTTCTTCGCAGAAGGAGGCGGCGGAGAGGGACCGGGAGTACGATCCTTCCACCCCAAAGATCGCGCCGCCGGAGGACCAGGCGTAGACGTCGGGACGAACCCAACTCCGTCCCGAGTCTACCCCCCACGGGGCCGGGGTGCATGCCTTGAGGGAGGCACCACCCCACAACCAGGCCCCTGGAGGCGCGCGCGTGTACCCACGCGCCTCCACGAGACGGTACGGTGCAAGTCATAGCACCCTAACCAGAGAGAGGGGGCCTGTCCTACAACATCTACAGGACAGGCCAAGCCGCCGAAGTCTAGGTTGAATGCCAAGTGCGAACCCCGGACTTCAGTCCACGGCACCTCAAGGTATACCGTGTGGTTTTTTAGTGGGTACGGGTCCTACACACTACTCGCCATCCCTCTGGCGGGGTGACGGTCTTGTTGGAGATTTATCCAAACGTTAAAAAAAAAAAGAAAGGACCGTGGTGGTCCTTTCCCGTTCCAGTTTCCAGTTCCAAAAACTGACTATAAATAAATGTCATATAGCGGCAGATCTCTTCTTTTTTTCGATCTATTATATTCTGTTGGCCGCAGCCGGTCCTTATAGCGTTACAGAACTATAGGACGCGAGTACAGATGGCACTCCAAACCAGCAGCGGTTGAAGTACAACTCTTGCCTGACGACTTTAGTCTGACAGCACTGCTAGGAGTTCGAACTTTGGCTCAGACCTTCGAAATTTCGATCCCCGTTTGAATTGGACGGGGAATCGATCGGTGTATGTACAATAAACCGTAATATAGGCTGATCTTCCATGACGTGCGTGATGACATGTAATTTTCCCGAAGGTTAAGGACTTAGGCGTCCCAAACTTTTCTCAAGAGCGTTTTATTTAGTCGACCATCAGTGTGAAATGTGGATAGAGGTATCGTTGACAGTGCGCGGTACCTGTTCGAAGCGCCTGGTCTCGACGAGGTAGGAGAGCGTGTTGAGCCAGCAGACGTGCTCGATGATGAAGCACATCATGCCGAGCACCCGCAGCCCGTCCATGGCGGCCAGGTCTGCGCCGCGTGCCGAGGGTGGCGGCGCGTGCAGCGTGCGCCAGCTCCCCGCTAAGGACCACGACACCGCCCACTGCAGCCCTGCACAGTTTTTTAATAATAATAATAATGGAAAACAAAAATATGTTAAATCATATTTACTGAGCAAAGCCACTCATTAAACGATTACTTGAATGACGAGCGTGCATGGCAATAGTTGGTCATGCACGGGATTTTCATTTAATGTTCGACATAGGCACCTATATAAATATACATTGTAAATAAACTGGCTTTAAAAAAAAAATATTCAATTGAGTTTCTTGCCAGTTCTTCTCAATTGATCTATATACTTAATACTAATATAATTAAAATTATAATGTAAAAAAAATTGACATTCATAAGCGGCTAGGTCAATATGTCCTACATGAATAAATGATTTTTGAATTTGAATTTCAATGAATTTAAACTCTTTATTGTGCTATATAGCTTAACTTGGGTCTAGATGGCGCTGTGTGAATTGTCCTGAGATTATTATTATTATAGCTCATTCTGGCGACTCAGTAGGTAGTTAAAAAGTTTCTATTGTTCACGTTCACACACAACGCCGTCGCATACTAATTCAATTAATCAGCTGATTATCCAAGATGGCCGATAAATATTAAGTTTGTTTCGTTTCTAGACAAAACACTAAATTTATTAATTCGTAAAAATGTTTTGTTTATCCCGAAAAACCCGGAATATGTTACATAAAATCCCGAGATTTTCGGGACCGATCCCGGGATCCCGGTTAAATTCGTTGTTGGCCAAATTCTTTAATCACCACACGATATATAGATCGCAATAAACGGTTGCTTAGGCACCATTCACCGTCACGCCCATGACCACACTCGCAGCATTGCACTGTTACTGTAATGCGTAATCAAAGAGCGATGTTTTTTTTATTATTGTGTGTGCAATTGGAAGCAATGGTCGCAGTTACTCGAAGTCGAAAGAACCGTTACTGGAGAAGGGTTACAGTAACGCGGTCAAGTTTATGTCATCAAGCTCACTGGCTTTTTAACAATAATAATAATCTCAGGACAATTGACACAGCGCCATCTAGACCCAAGTTAAGCTAGCTAAAGCTTGTGTTATGGGTACTAGATAACTGATACAAATACATAGATAATTTTTTTTTCGTAAATACTATACATATTATACATAGAAAATACCCAGACCGATACAAACAATCATACTCATGAATACAAATGTTTGTACCGTGCGAGGAATCGAACCCGCGACCATCGATCACCGAGGTCGTCAGTTTGAAGTAGGGTTTTATTTCCCAAAAAGCGCAAAAGCACTGCCTTTACTATTCATAATTTGATTGACAAATCTGTATTATTGTAAACATGTACAACATTCATTTGAAAAGAATACGAGCTGAGTTTTCAGTTCTTCTCATCTCGAAATCATTCCGAACTGACGGTAGATTTGACATTCAAATATCATATTTTGATTCTACCACTCATTCGAATGTTCATCACAAGAAGAATAGCAAGAAACTAATAGATGTTTTTTTTTTTATATAAATAATTACCAAGTACATGAATAAAGATATTTTGAATTTGTATTTGAACTGGAGAGAAAAAGTATTTTAAATCAAAGCATAAAGTTACGCCTATCATACGCTAACGCTCTGTAATCGCATACCAAGAGTAGCGAGCGTCACATTGTAAGATGTAAAGATTGTAAGATGTCTGTAGTTCTGCGACGGTGACCACTTCACCATCGGGACTTTCAGCTTGTTTGTCATGCCAATTACATAAAAAACTGTCATATATATATATATATGTAGGCGAGTGTACGTTGTGCGACATCCGTCTCAAATTGATGATCATTTGTGTAAACACACGTTTCGCAACGCGAATCGTCCGAGTCGGTGCTAATTGTCTGTAAATCCGGCTTCGGAGGCACCAGGGGTCCCCACCCCACCCCACACGAGGGGTCCCCACCCACCAGAAAAAAAAGGTTAACACTTTTTTTTGGGGTTTATGGGTATTGTCAGGTGCTAAAATCTGTAACACTGCGACCGGCCGCTCAGAGATTACAGAGTCGTCTAACGGATACGACTTTAGTCTGAGGGCATCGCTAGTTCGAACTAGAGATGTGTCAACTCGAGTTAACTCGAGTTGAATTCTGCCAACTCGAGTATGAAGAATTCAACTGGTAAATGAATGAATCAAGTGAAAGAGCGAGAGCATGATTCTGTCATCGAACCGACAATGACATGAAATTTTCCGATCATTTCATATCATACAATTTTCACTCGTCACAAATATTTCAGTATTGATTTGAGGTTGTTATCATTTTTTTCGCATATTCATCCGATTATGTTATCATTAAAATGATTATGCATTCTATAAGTCCTTCCGAGGCTTTAAAGTGCCATTTCTACTCGCCCCCTATAGTTCAGTGAAGCTTTCAAGGCTAGCTGCGCCCAAAAACATTAGAATTATTAGAAATAATATAAACAAAAAAAAAAATATTCCAGGTAACTTGAGTCAATTCGAGTTAACTCGAGTTACCTGAATTTCAACTCGAGTTAACTCCAGTCATGTTTATTACGAGTTAGCACATCTCTATCAGAGATTGCATTTCGGGCAGGTCGGGATCAAATGTGCGATGTAACTTTGAACGGACGTACAATTTACGGCAAAATTTTAAATAACTGGCTGGTGATAACATTAAAAATTTAATAATTATTTCAACTCACAATAAACGTATTAATTTTGGGCAAAATGTTTTTAACTATTAACAAATATAAAAATGATAATTTTAAAAGACAAACCATATCAAACTACGCTGTTTCAAGGTTATTTAGTCACATCACTACAGAAACAGTTGATTGGTAAGAAACGCAAAGCATCAGGGACAAGAATTGAAGGATATTCTTAGGAGCGATGGTTTTTATCTCCTCAGAATAGAATGTATACTTTCCAAAGGAGATATTACGTTTATGCACAAGTGGGTTACAACCACATTGGATGTGTGCCAACCTTACAACACTTAATACTGTTTGACATTAGTGGATTATTGTGACATATTGTTATATTGAATTATGGACTGATGCTGGTCAGCCGCGCCCCCGTGGAGGTTGGGGCCTCGGAGCGAACCCCTTTGCCCCGACATCAACTCAGGGGATCACAATCCCCGAGTATCTGGAATGTTGTAAGCCTCCTAAGGCCGGAAAAACTATAATATATATATAAAACTATAGCGTAACTTATGAATTAGATAAAAAAACTTAATGTTTTTTTTTTAATTTATATTATTTTGTTAACTTTAATTTTTTTATTTATATTTATCAACGTTGTAAGAAATAAGTAAAATAAAATAGGGGATGAAAGTTTTTATGGAAATTCGTCATTTTTCAAGCTAGAACCAGAAAACGATTTTTTTTTTGGGTTAGATTATAAAATATTTTTTCTTTATTTGATCAAGGTCACTATTCTACGCGGACGAAGCCGCGGGTACAGCTAGTATATGTATATACATATATGTGTATCTGTATATATATATTTATATACAAGCTACCCACTCCGGCTTCGCAAGGGGGTATATGTATTATACACAACTACCTCTTGAATCACTCTATCTATTAAAAATAACGCTTCAAAATCCGTTGCGTAGTCTTAAAGATTTAAGCATACATAGGGACGAACAGACAGCGACAGCGACTTGTTTTAACTATGTAATGATATATATAGATATATATATGCGGTGTAATATAAACCTTGACATCGATATAACGGCAGATTTGTATGTCGTAATGAGGTTATTGATCCTTACGTAACTCATTGATTACGGCCGCTGACATAACAACCAATACAAAATAGTTACGAATTAGCTCGGCCACACTAAAATAAACACGACCGTACGATATTATTGAATTCACTGATCACATTATTTTATTTATGAAAATTTTATGTATATAAAACTACAATTTATTGAAGATTGTCATCTTAGCAAACATTGCTTCTGTATATATCCTTATTTACTGATTTGTGTACATATTATATATAATTTATAGGTACCTATGTCTGTAATAATACTCTATGATTATACTCTATGATATACGCAAATATTTTTTAAAAATAAAATTATTCTATTTGAAAATAGAACACACGAATCAGAACATCGATATTGTTTTGTTCTTTTTATAAATTTCTATACACTTCTCGAAAATTCCACGGCGTCACCAATAAATATATTTAGTGTACAAAAAGATCCCATCAAAAACATAAATGTGAAATGATAGCCGAGTTTAATATTATGATATATGCCTTGATTGTTGACTTCTACGACAAAAGAGGTGAGATCTAAATGGGTGCCAAGTTCAATGGTCTGTCCTGAAATGTATTTATAACAATATAAAATATCATTTCTTCTTATAACTTAGGATAATATACTGTAGCCTAAGGTCTGACTTGGCTAGTTCTCATATACCAATTATTACTTTCGATTGCTAGTTACTACTAATAATAAAATAGGAACCGACAAGTAACATCTTTAGAACTTGCGAAGGCTACAGTATATTTCGTATATGAAAACTAGTCAAGTCAGATCAACACAATCTCAGGACAATTCACACAGCGCCATCTAGACCCAAGTTAAGGTAGCTAAAGCCTGTGTTATGGGTACTAGATAACTGATACATATACATAGATATATTCTTTTCGTAAATAAATACATGCTATACATAGAAAATACCCAGACCGATACAAACAATCATACTCAGGAATACAAATGTCTGTGCTGTGCGAGGAATCGAACCCGCGACCACCGGAAGTAAGGCAGTGTGCCACCATTAGACCACCGAGGTCGTCAAATCCAGGAACCTTGTTGAAATACATACAAACACTATCCATCCAGAGCCGTAAAAATATATAATCTTTACCTTTCTTGGCGTTATCGGAGAGTGTGACATCCAGCACTGTGCTGATGGCGGTAAGGGCAACAAGCACAGCGATCACCCCTGCGAACGCCCGCTCGTTGTCCGTGAGCGGCGGGTCGGGGCCTCCGGGTCCCTGCCGGCAGTACTCCAGCCGGTACAGCCGCGCTGACATATTGTACTCCGAGATCATGCTCGCGTTGACGCACGATGAAAACCTAATTGGTGATACAATGTTTAATCTTCATAGATAAAGATAGATCAATTCTTTATTCAACAATTATATACACAAATATTATAATGGGTGAAAACTGTGTTGGTACAGTTTATGCTGTAAATAATATAAATGACGTAGTGGAGTAACTTGAAACAGTCATGCTCGCTAGAAAGTTCAAACTTGTGGCGGCGTGGCGGATGTGCACCCTCAAATATGGTTGAGTGGGGGAAAAAAAACATCTATTAAAAAGGGTTTTTGTTAGTAATGTGGACTAATGTCCCCATTACTAGCAATGCACCATGTCAGGTTGACCTCCACGCGGTTCCCCTGGAAACCATCACGTTGAGCTAACGAACATCTGGTGCCTCATGTTCATCTTCATTTCATCTTCAGTTCTCTTTCATTTCGAAATATTTCTGTAATAGACCTACATGAATAAAGATATTTTGAGTTTTGAATATTGAACATGACATAGAAAAAAACATGAATTAATAAAAAAAATGTAGATGATGATTCATTTATTTCCCTTCACTTATATATTCATTCTCTCGTCATTCATGCTCCAATTCATGCATACATCGAACAGTTAACACAGTCGTTCCGTTACAAACCAATCCCACATTGGGCCATCCTACAGTCATGTCTGTCCCCAGATATGTTATCTATGAAACTATATGTTATGACTTCATTCTCATCAGATACACTTAAATAACAACATAAAATACAATATAATATCTTACAATTAAATACAATATCTTACAACTAAGTACAATTGACAATAACAATTTATTTACCAGAAAACTATTCGTGTTAAGATCATAAATTAAGTGTCTAAGATAAATAATAAAATAATAAAATATCTTAGATCTTGTTAAACTCGTTTAACTATGTTATAAATGCAAAGATTTAATCTTATATATAACTAGCTGTCCCGGCAACGTTATTTTGCCTTAAAATAAAAAAAAATTTAGGGTTGGACTATCCCTAACATTTAGGGGGATGAAAAATAGATGTTGGCCGATTCTCAGACCTACTCAATACGCTCACAAAATTTTATGAGAATCAGTCAAGCCGTTTCGGAGGTGTATGGAACGAAAACTGTGACACGAGAATTTTATATATAAGAAATTCTCGTGTCACAATGTTAGTTACAATACTTCTCCGAAACGGTTTGACTGATTTTCATGAAATTTAATATGCACATTCAGTAGGTCTGAGAATCGGCTACTATCTATTTTTCACACCCCTAAGTAACAAAGGTTGTCCAGAAACATTGTATTTTTATTTTAGATGGTTTTTTTTTAATAAAACACATATAACCCTAGAGTTTCTTTCTTCTATCACCAACCCCTATTTTTTTTATAGCGTTATTAATTTATATGGCAAAACAACGTTTGCTGGATCATCTAGTAATGACCATATAATCATGTAATCCTATGACCTATGACCTAACATAAATCTTACAGATTTCCATGATAAATTACTCATAAAATTTATACGATCATAAATTACATTGAGTTTTATATTTCGATACATTACGTACATCTCAACATAGTTACATTGTATGGACGTCATATGAACGTTGTATGTCACAATCGCACTTAACTTTATACAGACTGGAACCAACAAAATGCAATACAAACTGGAGTACATGAGTTGCAATCAATAATAGACGTAATTACGATTAAGTAACTTTTTTTAATGGATGATAATGGAGTGGTGCACCCGCCTGCACTAATGGTTTACCCAGGGCGGCAGTGGAGGATGATAAGATGAGCATGAGGTCAGGTCCAAATAACTAGGAATTAACTACATGGTTTCCAAGGGGAACCGCGTGGTCGACCTAACGTGGTACATTGCTAACAATGGAGACACTGTACCCCATTACTAAATATCCCCTCCCCATCAAATAAGCATTGTTCATTTGCTATTATTATTATATCAGTTATGTGTTATGTTACTTAGACTATTTTTTAATTTTAATAATGTTTTAACTAGCTACTCGCCCCGGCATCGGCAGGTTATACATGTATTATACATATAAACCTTCCTCTTGAATCACTCTATGTATTTAAAAAACCGCTTCAAAATCCGTTGCGTAGTTTTAAAGATTTAACCGTACGTAGGGACGGACAGACAGAATAGCTTTGTTTTAAACTCTGTAGTGATGATATCCTGTATAGGATAAAGTGGCGGAAAAAATAAGGAAATTTGACTCTACCAGAGAGCGAGATAGAGATATTAATAATAATAACTCAATATAATCCAAACAGAGCCATCTAGCCCCAAACTAAACAGAACTTGTTATGGGTACTAGACAGCTGATAGAAATATATAGATATTTATTTATAAATACATGCATATGCATAGAAAACACCAGACCGATACAAACACACACTTATGAATACAGTTGTTTGTATTCTGCGAGGAATTGAACCGCGACCATCGGAAGTATAGCAGTGTGCTGAATCTGATGCGTGCATCTGTTTAACTTAAGGTTGCAAATAGAAACTTAGGGTTTTTTTTTATGTATGATAATGTAATGGTGCACCCGCCCGCGCTAACGGTTTACGCTGGCGGGGCACCAGTGGAGGATGATAAAATGAGCATGAGGTCAGGTCAGTTAGCCCAGCGTGACAAATTCACCAGGAATTTAACACGATGGTTTCCAGGGGGAACCGCGTGGAGGTCGACCTGACATGGTACATTGCTAGCAATGGGGTTATCAATCCACATTACTAACAATCCCCTTCCCCCTAGAAACTTAGGGTTGGAAATCGAACTTGGACACTCGGAGCGGAGGATGTAGGGGCATCCCAAGTTTCCAGGAGGCGAGTGATCCGTGGAGTGTGGGCGTGGAGTGGTCCCCGTGCCCAACTTCGGGGGCTCCTTCACTGCAGACCCGCGGCCGGAGTGCGGTAGAATGCAAATGCCAACCCGCACGAAGGTGAAAGTTGTTTTTAGAGGAACACCGAGGGGTTTTGGGGGGATTTCGTCCGCTCCCCTTCATAAAGGCGGACGTTTCGGTACTGAAACCTCTCCCCTCGTAAAAAAAATAAAAAAAAAACGGTTGGAAATCGAAATCGTTGCATTTCTTACTGCATCCTTATTTTAAACTGACCAAATTCAAATCTTGTTTTTTTTTTTTAAATTCAGGTTGGCAATTTTTTTAACTTACCATGCGTCAAATGCTAGCTGTTCGAGGCTCTCGTTGTGGGAGTGGTGAGCAGCGAGCGGTAGGTGGTTGTGAGTGGTGTCTTGGTGGTGGGGACAGCGGCGACTCACGCACAGCCCTCGGTGCAGTCGTGTGTGGTTGAAATTATCCACCCAGTTAGCTGAGTAGCGCTGCAGAACATATTGGGCTCATTATATAGTACTTAATACATGTAATTATAATAATAATAATCTCAGGATAATTCACACAGCGCCATCTAGACCCAAATTAAGCTAAAGCTTTTGTTATGGCTACTAGACAATTTTTTTTTTCGTAAATACATACATAATATACATAGAAAACACCCAGACCGATACAAACAATCATACTCATGAATACAAATGTTTGTGCCGTGCGAGGAATCGATCCCGCGACCATCGGACGTAAAGCGGTGTGGTAGACCGCTAGACCACCGAGGTCGTCAATATTATTATTATTATTATGTATTTTATATCTCCCTTTTTACGGGGGTAATATATTCAAACACGCGGGCCTTAGCCAAGCATGGATGAGTTATGTGATGAAGATAGAAATTTTCTGACTATTCGGCATGTGTTTAGTATGACAGCTTTTTGTAATAGGTCTATTGTAGAGGAGGGGATTTCCAACGCGTCTAGGTGTTTGATAAGACTTCTTGGTATAATTCATGTGGATGATAGAACTGTGGGTAATATTATAATACTATATTACTATTATTATTAATATTCCCGAACAACTCACAGCGCCATCTAGTTCCAAGCTAAGCAAAGCTTGTGTTATGTGTATTAGATAACTGAAATAAATGCATAGATTCTTTTTTGTAAAATACATACTCGTAATTCAATTCAAAATATCTTTATTCATGTAGGTCTATTACAGACTCTTATGATATGTCAAATCTACCGTCAATTCGGAATGATTTCGAGATGAGAAGAACTGACAAGAAACTCAGCTCGTATTCTTTTCAAATAAATGTTGTACATGTTTACAATATAATAATATTTAATTAATGTAATAATGTAAGTGTAATAAGAGCTCTGGACAACTCACATAACGCAGGGGGAAAGGGGTGGTTTGTAATGCGGACTGATCTTATTGCTAGCAATTTACCGTGCCAGGTTGACCTCCACGCGGTTCACCCTGGAATCCATCGTGATAAATTCTTGGTGAATTTGTCACGATGGGCTAACTGACCTGACCTCATGTTTATCTTATCATCCTCCACTGGTGCCCCGCCAGCGTAAACCGTTAGCGCAGGCGGGTGCACCATTCCATTATCATCCATAAAAATATATTTATATATATATATATATGTATATTAAGATTAATTTAACATGACATTGATATATATACTTAAAGGTTTAATTAACAAATCAAAAACAAAATATCTTTATTCATGTAGGTCTATTACAGACTCTTATGATATGCCAAATCTACCGTCAGTTCGGAATGATTTCGAGATGAGAAGAACTGACAAGCAACTCAGCTCGTATTCTTTTCAAATAAATGTACATGTTTACAATAAAGTCATTAAAATTCAAATTTGTGAGGATAGAGTGACCACCAGCATATGCTATTGCAAAAAACAGAAATCTAATCAGAGTTCGCAACCTGAACCGAGCAGTCCCCACGAGCAGCACCCGATCACAAGTATATTCACGTGTATTAATTAATATGAAATCATCGCAAAGTAAACTGCTTGCTCAACTGAAGTCGCGGAATGTTTTTTGTCCGTCTGTGTTTAACCCAAATCGTGTGTTTATGTGAAATATAAGCGTGTATCTACCAAAATATATCTTACTAATATTATAAACGAAAATTTGTTACTCTTTCACGCAAAAAGAAAGAATTTTTACTGTTTATTGCCAGCTTCATTGTATAGAAAATTTAATTTATTACTTTTATTCCAACTAGCTCTACATGGAATTTAACGTTATTTTCCTAAAAAAAAATAGCCCAAGTTACTCCTTATTACATCTGTTACCGGTCAAAGTCTCGTCAATATCGGTCCAGCCATTTCAGAGATAACCGAAACAAACAGACAGACAGACAAAAAGTATATAAAAAATGTTATTTTGGTGTATGTACCATATTTATATTCATATGCATGTAGTAAAAAATGGTTATTTCAATATTACAAACAGACACTCCAATTTTATTTATATGTGTAGATGTATAGATTTATAGAGAGATTGGGATCATAGAAAATTCTCATTGCATGTCTCTGAACCGAGTCAAAAAGACCGAGCTGGTATCCAGGTGCTCCCGCCCAAAGATGAGAGCAGTATTTCAATATTGCAAACAGATACTCTAATTTTATAGATTCATATGTATAGATTTGGAACCATAAACTAACGATGTTATTGTGATGTTGGTGGCGTCACTATAATGCCACCAACATACAAGAAAAAAGGTGGACAGAACGGCCATTCTCATTTTGAAAGCCGATCAATGATAAAAGATATATTCTATTACCGGTATAAAAAAATTAATATAAGTGAGTAATGTAATTGGAGACCGAAATAAAAACAAGTACATCTGCATCGAGATATTATTTCGAATCTTTCCAATATTATTCGTTTGCTTCGCAGTACCGTATAAATAATCATAATTTTGCAACACTAGTGTAACGTAATTTTAATCCACAATGTTTGAGCAATAGGCTTCTTAGGAAACGTCGTAAACTCTCAAGTTCTGATATATTAACACTGGGGGGAAGGAGACCTGTTCTCTGAGGACATGTCCTAGTTTCTGAAGAGTCCTGGAAAGTCCTGAATAGATATTTGGTACTGTACTGGGTTTTTTTTTAATTTGCGCGCCTCTTAATTACTGTAGTCAACAGCATAATTTTATATATTATAATGTAAAAACTTGACGTTCATAAGCGGCTAAAATGTCCTACATGAATAAATGATTTTTGAATTTGAATTTATCAAATACTTTTTATTAAAAAACCTGATTATATTAATTACTTGAATTTTACATACTAATATAACTATTGCAACACTATTTATTTATTTTATTTAATTCAGGCTACATGGCCCATATTATAAATACCTTATAGACTAACATACATAAGAGATAATAATAAAATATGTAAATAAAATTGTCTCTATGGTCACGGCACTAACGACGGCAATCTGCAACGGGAGCGCCGATAGCCGATTATTACTGCGTTCTGTTTTTAAACTGGATAGCACTGGTTTATTTAACTTGGGCTTGGTTTTTGGGCTTGGGAACCCTATGTAATATACGCGGTTCCCTCTGGAAACTATCGTGATAAATTCCTGGTGAATTTGTCACGATGGGCTGACTGAACTGACTTCATGTTCATGTTATCCTCCACTGGTGTCTCACCAACGTACGTTTACATTCAGCCGCTTCCCCTGCCACTCGCGCTGCCGGAAATATTGCCGGGCGACAACTGAGCGAGAGGGCTGAATGTAAAAACACGCTGCCACTCGCGCTGCCATTCCTTTGACTCGCGCACGAAAAACCGACAATCGAGGGAGCGCCGGGCAGCGCGAGTGGCAGCGCCAATGGCATGGGAAGTGTTTCCACTCATGTTTACACTCTCGCGCTGCTCACTTCCCTGCCCACTCGGGCTGAGTGTAAATTGGGCATTAGAGCAGGCAGGTGCACCATTCCATTAAACAAATCCGCGGCAAACAGTTGTATGATCCGTATACCACGTGGTATAATTACACAGATGCGAACAAAAACTGCATAATTTTAATTACGTGAAAGTGCTTATATTTAGTATATATTGCGTCATTACGATGTAGAGTGCAGATTTGCGAAATGTACGGAGAAAGTGGCGTGTGCAGCCAGGAGGCAAGTAGATGTAGGTCAGCGCAGCTCGTGGTTGCAGTGGACACTCCGCACACATACACAAACACAGATACTTTATTTATTTATATATTTATTTAAACTTAATGCACGAATAGAATAATAAAGGTCCAGCACAAAGGAAGATCTAAAATGCGACAGTATGCGCATAAGTCATTCTGGGGAAAACATATTTAGATGCCGTTGAAACGAAAGAAGATGAATACGGCAAGTTGCAAGTTAAATAGAAATAATCTTTATTTAAATATAATATAAGCACTATAATACTTAATATAAGCACTTTTGAATAGTCAAGTTATTTTATTCTACCGCTCATTCGGAATGCAGACTCATCACAAGAAGAATAATCACGAGACTTGTGAATAGTGGTACATACACCAAAGTAACATTTTTTTACCTTTTTTGTCTGTCTGTCTGTTTGTTCCGGCTAATCTCTGAAATGGCTGAATCCGATTTTGACGAGACTTTTATTGGCAGGTAGCTGATGTAATGAAGTGTAACTTAGGCTACTTTTATTTTAGAAAAATAAAGTTAAACACAGTCGTAGTATCGGGTATAGCAAGTTTGAATTTATTACTTGAATTACATAGTATAAAACAAAGTCACTGTCACTGTCTGTCCGTCCCTATGTATGGTTAAATGTTTAAAACTACGCAACGGATTTTGAAGCGGTTTTTTTTAGTAGATACAGTGATTCAAGAGGAAAGTTTATATATATAATACATGTACAGCCGTGCGAAGTCGGGGCGAGTAGCTATTGATATATTATTATATACAACTAAGAATGGTGTGTATGCAGTGATTCAAGAGGAAGGTAAGCGGCCACCAGTTGGTATTAATGATTATATTATCTGTGGTATTACCAACAATCCCTACCCGAAAATATAGTAATAAAAAAAAGATTTTGATATGTATATTTGGAAAGTGGAGACAAAAACGCCTGTTATGTTTTCGATTGACCGGTTATCCGGGCCGCGATATGCGCACACCGCTACCAATACATAATTGATGATACACCGGGTTACTAAACGCCGACACGTGGTTGCTAGCTGTGGCGAAAGGATGGGAATCTGCTACATACGCAACCACGCACTCACAAAAAGTTATAAGAAATCTGGGCCTATTACTGTTAATTGGTTGTCAGAAGTGAATTCAAACAACAGCATTCTTAGTTGTATATATATTAATAACTAGCTACTCGCCCTTGCTTCGCCCGAGTGTACATGTATTGTATATATAAACCTTCCTCTTGAAGCACTCTACCTATTAAAAAATTGCTTCAAAATCCGTTGCATAATTTTAAAGATTTAAGCATACATAGGGACGGACAGTCAGCGACAGCGACTCTGTTTTATACTTTGTAAGGATATTTCAAACTAGCTGTACCCGCTAGGACGTCTGCGTGAAATTTAACTTAATTTTTCTAACATAAAAGAATATAATATATTAATAATTATAATATAATATACATACATAATTTCTAACATAAAAAGTAGCCTAAGTTACTCCTTATTACATCAGCTACCTACCAATAAAAGTCCCGTCAAAATCGGTCCAGCCATTTCAGAGATTAGCCGGAGCAAACAGACCGACAGACAGACAGACAAAAATTGTAAAAAATGTTGTTTTGGTGTATTTACCGTGTTTATAGTCATATGCATGTAGTAAAAAATGGTTATATCACTATTACAAACAGACACTCCAATTTTATTTACATGTATAGATGTATGGATTAAAAAAAATCGAAAAGTATTTGTGTCTCAGTTATCTAGTACCCATAAAACAAGTCTGTTTAGCTTGGGACTAGATGGCGCTGTGTGAATAGTCCTAAGATATTATTATTATATAGAAAAAATCCATATGGTGTACTAACCTGCATGGTCTGGAACAGCTGATGATGGGAGTCTGCAGAGAGCTCGAAGCTACCGAGGCAGTAGACTCCGCGCGCCGCCAGGCACTGCTCGTAATGGTCCAGGTGGAACAGGTTCGGCATCTGATAGTACTGCTCATCTGTAACCCACAGTTTATTAATTCAATTTTAAATACACGTCCACTGATTGTAGAATGAACTACCTGCCGAGGTTTTCCCACGAGACTACAGCATGGGGTTTTTCAAGAAGGGTATATTAAGGTTTCTTAAGGGTCGGTAACGCGCATGTACACCCCTGGTGTTTCAGGCGTCCTTAGGACGTATTTTTTTTTTTTTTATTGGGTTGTTTGGGCTATTGTCAGATGTGTAGCACCTGTAGCACTGCGACCTACATAGATCTATTGTGCTCGCCCTTTTCAGAGTTCGCTACCTAGACCCGTCAGGGACAAGAATTGAAGGATATTCTTAGGAGCGATCGTTTTTATCTCCTCGGGAAAGAGTGTAAACTTTCCAAAGGAGATATTTCGTTTATTCATGAGTGGGCTACAACCACATAGGATGTGAAGCGGCGTTTCCTCTTCAGTTTGGCAGAATCTGCAGATACTTGTCGTGCATAGGCCTAGCTTAGCCATATGCTTGTTCAATTTGCAGTGTCCTGTGAGGGCCCTAGTCATCATGCATATGTTGTTTTTACTCAATAGCAGTAATCTATTGGAGTATTTGGTCGAGAAGCCCGATATTAGGTCTTTTGAATGTATTAATCCTGGCATTTCTTGCCAGTGATTCAGTGCTTCTCGTTTGGTTATTAATTTGAGATGTCCCAGTTTTAGGCAACGAGGCACACCACAGAAGGGTTCGGGGCCCAGTTGGACGGTTTTTGCCCCTAACTTTGCCAGATGGTCGGCATTCTCATTGCCTTCAATATTTGAATGCCCGGGGACCCATCTCAGTATAATATTATTTCTGCTTCCTACTTCATTTAGTAGCAGGATACAGTTTCTAATAAGTTTAGAGTAATAAGTTTACCTTAGGACGTAACCATTTACCATCAGATGGGCCGTATGCTTATTTACTACCATAGTAGTATAAAAAAAAATAACAATAATTATGATAATAAATAACCCTGGACAATTAACACAGTATCTAGTCCCACGGTAAGCAAAGCTTGTGTTATGGGTACTAGACAACTGATGTAAATACTTAGATATTTTGTAAATACACACATAATATACATATAAAACTCACAGACCGATACAAACAATCATACTCATGAATGCAAATGTTTGTACCAAAGTCAAATTCAAATTCATAAATCATTTATTTATGTAGGACATTTTAGTTGCTTATGAACTTCATTTTTTTTATATTACAATATAAAAAAAATATTAATTTTTTCCCTACCGTCTAGTTCAGTATATAGATCTAATTGAGAACTGGCAAGAAAGTCAATTGAATATTTTTACTGTGCGCGGAATCGAACCCGCGACCACCGGAAGTAAGGCGGCGTGTAAACCGCTAGACCACAGCGGCCATCATATCATAGGTAATAAATGTAAGGTTGCAACACAATTATCGTTTAATTGTGAGTCATTGTTCCGATGACTTGTTGCACAGACGGTGCAACAGTTCAAGATAGCAGGTTCCCGACCCCGGCGAGTAAGATAAGTTCCGATTTATTGACTCACCGTTGTTTTTTTTTCGGACTACTCTAATGCTGTTGGCCGCAGCTGGCCTTTACAGCTTCACCGGACGATAGGGGGCGAGTGCAGATGGCACTACAAACCAAAGGAAGGACTTATGGAGCGGCTGAAGGCCATCTCCAGCCTGACAGATACGACTTTAGTCTGAGAACAACGCTAGGGGTTGGAACCTCGGCTCAGGCCGTCGTAATATCGATCCCCGTTTGAATTGGACGGGGGATCGATCGGAAGGGACTTACTGTTGTCAACACAACCCTTTTTTTTCATACTACGATGCTGGCAAGTATACGGCCTATAGGATGGTAAATGTTTACCGTAGCCTATGGACGAGTGAATAAAAGCTTAAAACAAATAAAATATAATAAATACTCTTAGGAATTAGTTTGTATGTTAAATAATCTATGCCAGAAGGAATATAGACAGTTTCAAAAGAGTTAGTGATTGCACTAATAAAAGCTTACGTAACAATAACAAACTGATTTTACCTAAATGTCGTTTGGCTAAAGTTAGTAATTCGTTTTATGGCAATTGCGTAAGGTTTTACAATAAAATACCAGAGTCTGTTATAAATCTGCCAGAAAAAAGATTTAAATGTCAAATAAAACAGTTCCTTTGCAAAAAAGCTTACTATAAAATTGAAGAATTCGTTAACGATAATAATGTTTTTATAGAAAAACTTTAAATCCATAGCACTGACAATATTATCTGATTACATTAATAATGAGTGCGTAGCGACTTCTATGTTGATTATCGCATGCCTCTTACTTGTTACACTGTAATTATTTATATAAAAAAAAAAAAAACATCTATTAAAAAGAGCAACACACAAGTTTCTTGCTCATTCTTCTTGTGATGAATCTGCATTCCGAATGAGTGGTAGAATCAAAATATGACTATTCAAAAGCGCTTGTAATGAGTTTATTTGAATAAAGATTATTTCTATTTCTATTTCTATTTCTATAAATAGTCAGATAGGAAAGTTAAAAATAGTGTTAATTACATTATTTTTAACATTCAACTAAAATATTAAATTCAAGTAAATAAAAAACTAAAGATAAAAAACTAGTAAACAATTTCTAAGTGTTTATAGCAGTTGTCTAGTACCCATAACACAAGCCTCTGCTTAGCTTGAGACTAGATGGCGCTGTAGTAATTGTCCAGTGTTATTTATTAATTTTTTCTTTACATGTAAGGAATTTATTCGTAAATTATTTTTTATTTTAAATCAACTAAAAATAAAACTAAAATCGAAACCAGCTTTAAGGATTCGATATTTATTGTTTTATTAAATAAGTACCATTTAGAAAATGTTTTATGAGAATAGGTATAAGAAATTACAATAAGATACCAAAGAATATATTGGAATAAATTCAAAACATCTGTTAAATCATATTTACTGAGCAAAGCGACAAATTCACTAAACGATTACTTGAATGACCAGCGTGCGTGGCAATAGTTGTTCATGCACGGGATTTTCATTTAATGTTAGACATAGACACCTATATAAATACCTATACATTGTAAATAAACTGACTTTTAAAAAAAAAGTAATTCAATTGAATTTCTTGCCAGTTCATCTCAATTGATTTGGATAGATCCAATTGAGATACCGAACTGGACGGTAGGGAAAAAATTAAAATTATAAGGTAAAAACTTGACGTTCATAAGAGGCTAAAATGTCCTACATGAATAAATGATATTTGAATTTGAAATAATGTAAAATAAGTCCAGGGTTATTTATTCTTTACACAAATATCGAATCGTTGAAACTGGTTTTTTATTTTTCGCTAGAATTCTAAAGTACATAACCTAATTTCCATGTATTTATAATGATATAACTAACTCTTATTAAGTAAATAATTAGATGTTTTCTAAATAAACAACATAATTATAGCAAACACTTCCCCGTACCGTCCACCAGCAGGTGACTGGTCACTAAATAAACAAACAAGGTAGGTAAAACCAAATGAAAGTGCCGTACAATACCAAGTGTAGGCTAGGTACATGAACAACCTACAGATTATACACTCGAGCGAAACCAAACATTGTGTAATAATCAAATATTATTTTAATTACCTAAACGTCGTTTAACTAAAGTTATGGGACACAGTTTAGATACAGCAGTGCTTAGTAGATAATATTGAATTTGTCTTACTGGACATTATTAAATGCAATTATTATTTTGATGTATCTGTGTCCCATATTAGTAATTCGTTTTATGGCAATTGTGTAAGGTTTTATAATAAAATACCAGAGTCTGTTATAAGTCTGCCTGAAAAAAGATTTAAATCTAAATATATATAACTTAAAAGGTAACTGACTGTAATAGTGATCTATCAACGCACAGCCCAAACCACTGGACGGATCGGGCTGAAATTTGGCATGCAGGTAGATGTTATGACGTAGGCATCCGCTAAGAAAGGAAGGGAGGTAGAATTAGGAGGTAGGTAGGAGGAATTAATTGGAGGCAGTTTGTATGAAACTTTGTCAATTTTAAACCAATCGGGCTGAGATTTTGCATGCATAAAGCTACTATGACGTAGGTATCCTCTAAGAAAGGATTTTGATAAATTCCACCCCTAAGGGGATAAATTAATACGACCAAAGCCGCGGGCAGAAGCTAGTGTCATATAGAACACTTCGTTTGCAAAAAAGCTTACTATAAAATTGAAGAGTTCGTTAATGATAATCATATTTTTATAGAAAAACTTAAAATCCATAGCACTGACAATATTATCTGATTACACTAATAATGAGTGCGTAGCGATTTCTATGTTGATTATCGCATGCCTCTTACTTGTTATACTGTAATTATTTATATAAAAAAACATCTATTCAAAAGAACAAGACACAAGTTTCTTGCTCATTCTTCTTGTGATGAATCTGCATTCCGAATGAGTGGTAGAATCAAAATATGACTATTCAAAAGTGCTATGTAATGAGTTTATTTTAATAAAGATTATTTCTATTTCTATTTGTATTACGTTTCAACATTTGGTCATGTTGATAATTAAGTCAACATTCTGTCTGTACGTAACATTATTTTAAACTAGCTGACCCGCGCGATTTCTTCTGCACCACAATGTACATAATATCTTTTTAAATTATAGCCTATGTGTTATTCTGATATATAAGCTATGTTACTGAAAAGTTTCATCCAAATCCGTTCAGCAGTTTTTGCGTGAAAGAGTAACAAACATCCATATACAAAAACTTTCGTGTTTATAAAATTAATAATAAGATAATGGAATGGTGCACCCGCCTGCGCTAACGGTTTACGCTGGCAGGGCACCAGTGGAGGATGATAAGATGAGCATGAGGTCTGGTCATCATGAACTACTCTCAGAACTGGTCCAGTATCATTCCTCTCAATCAATTGTATAGTCTGACTCAACTAACATAATGTATATACATCTATACATATAAATAAAATTGGAGTG